TATGCATGGAGTGCACCAATCGATTGATGAAGGCCATTGGCACCTGGAACCACACTCTGAGAAAAGCCTGGCGCAACAAATCGGCTGTGTTCGGCCTTGGTATGACATTATTCAGTCTCCTCTGAATTTCATCCCACAGGTGTTCAATTGGGTTTAAATCAGGACTAAGGGCTGGCCACTGCATAATGTTGACACTGTTCGGCTGAAGGAAGTCCCGTGTGGCTCTGGCAGTATGGGCCCGGGCGTTATCATGCTGGAAAATGCTGTTCCGGTGACGTGCGAAATGGGGTCTGAGAGCTGTAGATGGTCCGATAGTTGACCTGGAAGTGATTGGCAACGGCTTATGCAGTGTGGCCAGCTTCAATTCTTCCTAGCGCCTGGTTCCTCTGAGCTGTCGTGAGTCGCAGTATCCTGATGACGTTGTAATGTGAATGTTTCAACCCGGTTTGGGGGTGCATTTTATAGGGCTGGTCCTTGTGAACAGCACGTGCAGAATGAATTGCATGAAAAACATGGAGAACACCGTACAATCTCCGAGATCAGGTTGCGTTTTTGAGACCATTTCCTGGGTTCCATTAAGAGTTTGGGAAAGAATGTCTTTGCTCAGGTAAGGTTGGAGATGTTGTCAAAAATATACAATCAAAACAGTAAAATGAGTTTATAGTTATACGTTTATGCGAAGGAAAATTCCAAACTGACGTTTCTTTTGCTGCCTAGTATATGTTAAGATTAACCTATATTTCAACTTTGAACGAGATCGGAGAAAATGTGAATTTTAAAGAAAATTCTACCGCTACACTCATTACATAAAATACACAGGTATTTGGGAACAACCACATGTTCCAGCAATGTGGGCATGAGTTGGTTCCATCGATATCAGACCCAGGGCCAGCCAGCAATGTAGGCATGAGAGGTTCCATCGATATCAGACCCAGGGCCAGCCAGCAATGTAGGCATGAGAGGGTTCCATCGATATCAGACCCAGGGCCAGCCAGCAATGTAGGCATGAGAGGGTTCCATCGATATCAGACCCAGGGCCAGCCAGCAATGTAGGCATGAGAGGGTTCCATCGATATCAGACCCAGGGCCAGCCAGCAATGTTCCGGCGTCAGACGTGGTATTTCACTTGTTTTGAAATCAGTGTGAGTGTCTTACATGGAGTCCATATCATGCATTGCTTGTACTTTGTGAGTCCACGTGGCACGGAATTTTTGTTCGTTTCTTTTATTCGGCATACACAACCGTGCTGTATATTTCTGTCGCTGCGTTTGGACGATGTGTCTGTCTTGCATTGATTTACCTGAATTTTGTTTATATATATCAAGAATTTCCTTTTATATGATGGTGGAGGCTCTTTTTGAGTTTATTATGCAAAATAGGTCACAGATGGTCAGCAGAAGGGACAGGTGTAAAATGAAAACATATATATGAAATAATCATCAAATCAAAGTTCGTACCTTGATCACAATTTTCATGGACAGAAAATCTTAACAGATGATGACGACAATCCAGGTGAGTGATTGTAACACCTGTTTGAACAGCATTTCAGTTGTATCACACAGCACAGAGTAGGAGGAAGACCCGAAGTAATGCATGTTTTAGACTTGACGAACTTATGTCAAACACAGTAGCATCTGTATAAGTGCTATCGTGCCGACAAATCTAAATCTGGGGACAAACCGGGATTCGAACCCCGACTGCATGTCTTTTTTCTTTGATGCAAGAAGACCATGAAATATCAAGATAGGACCTCGTTATGATCCATGTACAATAAGGTATGAGATGAATGCACAATGCCATTTAGAAAGTGGTCAAATGTTACATGTGTTTGGGATTACAATTTCTCAGTGTAACATTACATATTCACACCATCCATTGAGCTCAGGCAGTTTGGGGTTGGTCCCCGATATTACGGATTGGTCAAAATCCAACATGGCGGCCATGTCGCGCTTCAAGCCTTTGAATGGGCAAAAGAGGGAATAAATATTCATTTTTAACATTTTTATAAATTCAGACGTCGACAACTAAGCAGATCAATTGTTGAAATATATGTGTTTTAATGACAATTGCTCTATTAAGTCCTCAGTTTGCTAAAGTTCACACGGTTTTCAAAGAGTCATCAAATCACGCCACGGCTGTCACGATTTTCATCGAAAAAAATAGGAATATCCTTATCAGGAACGTGTATTATAGCTTGAGAAATACTCTTTGATATCTTACCAATCAGTGCGCCATATTCAGAGTTACCAAATTTTCTCTAAATTGTTGAAATTGTCCGTCTTGTGAGGCACCCCTCGCCGTTGAGTGTACGGATTGGTCACGTGTCAATTTTTAGTAGTGGGCGGATTGGTCGTTTGACGGTATACGGTTTGGTCATAGCACTTGAATGTGTTGTCATTCAATAAAGTAGATTTATATTTCCTGGATCCCCCAAAATTGGGACTGAGAACATTGGGACCGGTTGTGAAATTTAATAGGAAGAATAATTGGTGTAAATAGACTTGTTGATGTCCTGTTAAAGAAATTTGTACAAGTATTTTTCTCGGAAAATTCTTTGGATTGGCAAATGACAATTAAAATAAAGACACATATGCTATTTTTGAGGACTTTTGAATTGTTTTTAAATCATTACAAGAGTTGTTTTCGTTGATGTGTGACAGTGAATCTGGTCTTGTCACATTTAAAGTGTCCTAAGAAAGTATAAAGATAGATCATTGAAAATTGTTCTTCCAATGGTGAGTGTTTCCTTTTTTCTGTTGTAGCAGTGCAGCGGTTGTGGATGCCTTGGATGAATATATCCATGAGCTTGACGGTCCCAAAAATGTGTCGAAGCTTTGTAGTACATGCGGCAGAACATTTAAATCCGTTAGTGGATTGAACACTTTCATTCAGTTAGGCTATATACTTTGAGATATGGTCAAGGCAGCACACTGATATCTGTGCCCCTGAGCGTGCGGAAAGTTGTGGAAAGCCTCTTTAAAGTAACCGAGATAACTTTTGGTTAATGCAATATTACAAATGTGTCTTTGAATTCACACTTCACAGTAAAATAGGACAAGTATCTTCGGATAAGTATTATGACAAACCCGTACACCAACTGTTTAGAAAAAGCGACCAACCCTGCAGTGTGTGCCAAACCAGCCCGTACACTAATAGCATTGCCCGTTGTTGGAAAACGCATTTCTACGGCCAAATGCAGTAGTTTGTCTCAACGATACCGTATTCCCCATGTAGCAGAGGGTTTCCCCTTCAATTGTGCGTGGTGACAGTTTCCAACTGTCGCTCGTTATCAAGAACGAAGCAATAATATACCAATTCAATGATATAAATAAATTCATTCGCTTTATCAAAAAGGTTTATTATTATTATTTATTATTCCGCCGATTTTTGTACCAAACATACCTCCTCAACCAATGCTCCGAATCGCTTACAAATAATCACACAGATGCCCACCGAGGTGAAGATATTCCCCTTAAAAATCTCTAGGCTCTAGGCCCAATAGCAAAGGGGAGATAATTCCAAATTAATCCCACAATTTCAAAGTTTAACAGCAAATATCTCAAGAACTAACTGATCCAACACTTCCAAATCTCTTGTACAGATGCACAATCGAATTCCCAAAAATTTTGCCTGACAGGTCAAGTCGCTAAAATGTACCGTTTGGCAGTTATTTTTGTTTTCAATGTTTGGCAATGTTTTTCAGCAGTTTTCTAAGTAGTTTGCTCCCAAAATGTGCTGAGCTCGAACCATCAGCTCTAGACATTCCAAACTTTCCATAACTGATGTCCAGTAACCATTGTGTAAATTTTGCACAAAAGTGGTAGATAAAGTCTTGGTGATTCCTGAACACTAATTGTTTTGACCGTAGACCCAAGAACAACTGAGATACAGCCTTTTAAAGAGGGACTATTTCTTCTCCAGAACTTCTTAAAAGGTACATCAACCCCGCGACCCCGGCTGTATTTGGAAGATCCGCTCGCCTGTCAAAAACGTGTTCTGGCTCCGTTTTGGACGATGATTTCTAGCCCTCAAATACAATAGATAGAACTAAAGCCAAGGAGCCCTCATCGTTGCTTGCACTATATTTCATGTTTGGTTTTGGTTTTCGAATGGAGTTGTGGTGGTATATCGGTAAATAAAGTCTTCGCTCATAGCACTAAAAAATATGGTCCACAGCTATACCATTGTTTATGTTCCATGAACTTGTGAAATATGGATGGATTTTTCAGAATTTGTGTCATGAATATATGATAGATTACAATTGTTGTTCCGATTAGAATTGGTCCTAATTTGTTGTTGCTGACTACACTTATTCTTCTAGTTGTTTATCAATATACAATGGCTGACTGCGCCTCTCCCTAGAACATTAGGTGAGGGCACATTGAAATGTGCCGCTAGAATATCCTAAACTCACCAGAGCAACACGCATAATTATATGCCAGCCTCTGATATAAAATGAATAGTTTTCAAATAATTAGAATTAGCATGTGCATCAATACACAAACTAGTTGATATTAATCCCCTAATTTAAAACCACACCAGCTCGGCTTCTTTGAATAGTTCTTGTTTGGTCCTTTCTGCAACTTCATATGTAGAAAGAGACAGAGAGACCTCTTGTTACAATGTTACTGCAGTTCATACTTTAGAGAGTGGAATTATTAGACTAGTTAGCTGTCTCCACGGTTCCTTTCAAGTTAATTTGCACAGCACGAAAATGGCTAATGTTTCAATTGACAATGCTGTTCAAAGCAGCCCAACAAAATATCTAAAGACTTATATTCAAAGCGAACTTGATACAACCTTAACTATGCATCTAGCTATGAAACATTCAATGGCATGTGATAATACATTCGGGAATATATACAATGGTGACACTATTGATTATTACTACTGTATGAGGCTATCTGACTCTCCAAGGCACTGTATGGACATGGGGACAATGCACTCGATACAGCGTATTTGCATTTAGCTATGTATTTGAGTATTAAAGATCTGTTTCGTAGTTCCACAGGCACTAAAGGATGATCTGTGAAGACTCCTGACCCATGACCATGAACACATCACTCGGCACGTTATTCCGGATTATATCATACTTTTTCTTATGGTTTGAAGTCATCAATGCGAGCATCAGTTATGGACGTCTTGTACATAAGGCCGAAGACTTCGATGACAGATTGCTGACTCTTGACGCCAAATGGACTCACGAAGTGACTTCTCTAATAAACTGTGTCGCAATATGCTCCTTGGACGAAAGGTGTGTTAGCGTCCAGTTTAATGAGGCTGCTACTATTTGCACTGGGTACGTGGTCAGCTCTGCAAGCGGTCCAGACTCTATTAGTAGCCCGGGCTATGTCATGTTTGATATGGAACGATGTAAGTATAATTTTCGAATTGGTATTTACATTTCGCCAACACCTGTTGTTATCAATTATTATCAGTTATCATAAAATGTTTTTTTTACTATTTTGAATTTAAAGCAAGCAGTCAATGGTGACTGCAATGACACAGAGGAAGAAACAGGATACTATATCCACCGCACTTGTCTGCAATGTCCATTCTTGATTTAAAGCAATCAGTCAATGGTGACTTTAATTACACAGAGGCAGAGAAAGGCTATCTTGATTACTCTGAGATGGCACCATGCCTTGGAGTATAATCTCCTCTTCAATGACACCACTCATTCCTGTGATGAAAACCAAAAGAATTCAATAAATTCAATTCAGAGCTACGCTTTTCTGGTCTGATATGACTGGACTAAGTTTTTGAACATTAAAGTATTTACTCTCAATGTGGTTCCACAGAAATGTTTTCTGTTGTGTGTCACCGTCCGTGCACCCAGCACCCCTACTGCATATTCTACTGTTCACAAGCACATGATAGAAACTGCATTCCGTGTTTCTCGTGACGTCGTCCCAGATACGAATATCCACTAAAACGAGATCTAATAACACTAAAGAACTTATGCAATATAAACAATAAAACAAAATGAATTGCTTCTCTTTCGTGGTCCTTCTTAATAATTGTAATTGTTTCTTATTTCGTATTTAGTTGTTATGTTGATGATGGTAATCAATATTTCTATCAGCTTTGTGAAACCTTCCTCTGTATCATTACCGTTAAACGTTAATGAATCGGAAATATGTGATTTCATTAAGTTAATGCCATGTTATTGACTTTTAAAAACACTAGCTGACGGTTTTGCCATTTCATTAAGTATTGTTTATAATTGATTATTGATTTTCAAAAGCGTCAATACTTTCAGACAGCGTGAAATTGTCTCACGTCATACTTTTGTTAATCAGAGTACTTGTGAACCAAGGAAATACAGGTATTATCACAGTGCGGCTATACTATGGTACTGTATTTGTTATCGGAAACAAAATAACGGCATTGGTAATGTCAGTTTTTCATCTTTGAAATTTACTAAACAACACAAATCTGTTTGTGCACATTTGCACATTAGATCCATGATATTTGCACATTTGCACATTAGATCCACGGTATTTGCACATTAGACCAATGGTATTTACACATCTGCACATTAGATCCATGGTATTTGCACATTTGCACATTAGATCCACGGTATTTCCATATTTGCACATTAGATCCATGGTATTTGCACATTTGCAAATTAGATCCATGGTATTTCCACGTTTACACATTAGATCCATGGTATTTGCACATTAGATCCATGGTATTTGCACATTTGCACATTAGATCCATGGTATTTCTTTATTTGCACATTAGATCCATGGTATTTGCATATTTGCACATTAGAACCATGGTATTTGCACATTTGCACATTAGACCAATGGTATGTCTTTGGAATGCCACAGCATATATGACATTTTGGCCTAAAATTGAATCAGGAAAAAATTGTTTCTCCGGAAAAGCACTTCATAGAGTTTTTTTAGCAGCTATTGCGTGCACCTTATCGCTACTATTTTATCGCTATTTTAATGACAAAATGTCATTATAAAATGTTTTGAAGTTCCATGAATGCCGACACCTCGAAGCTTTTAAACATTTAGAGGGTCATCTAATCGCTGTCGCCCAGCATAGGGGCGTGTCTCGCTTAGAAACAGCGTTAGAAAGACATATAGGTGTATAGACTCAACCCTTTTACTATATAAATGGAAAGAGATGTAACGACGAAACCACCCTCTCCTCAATCAAAGTTAGATTTCACCACGTAAAATATTTGTAAAGCCCCGCCGAGGCCTACGAATCAAAAGCTAGATGATTTCTCTACAAAATGAGCTATATCGGTCACAATCGGATCATTATTTCAAAAGTTATACGCCACAACTCACCGAAAACAGCTACCTCCACAATTCCAAGCCAAAATCATGGATCAGCCAAGACAGCGAAAACTCACCCTTTAAATTCGTTCCATGCTCAATGCGTGCTCAAAGCGCACAGTTGAGAGAAAATTCAGGGGAAGAAAGCTTGTCTGAAAAGATTGGTTTTAAGTCTTGTTTTAAAAGTTGATAGAGTTCCTGAGAGACGGATCATCTCAGGAAGAGAGTTCCAACATGAGGCGGCGGCAAAGGTAAATGAACGTTGACCACTCAGGAGTTGCCATTGTTCACAACGTTGACCATTCAGAGCGTAGAGAACAGCTAGGGACATAATGGTTGAGTAAGTCCGAGAGATAGGAAGGAGCTTGATTGTTGAAGCATTTGTAGATTAGGCAAATTACCTTGAATGTGATTCTCTAGGAGACTGGGATCCCTTAGAATTGGTGTTATATGGTCTCGTTTCGGACTTTTTGAGATGATTCAACGTAACGATAAGATTACCTAATCAAGGGACTTGGACCCAACCTTAGTTGACAGGGAATAGATGCATATGTCATTAATACCATACGTTGATTCACTGAAAGTCGTATTTGTTGAGTGGGACTAACCTATATCAACATAGTATTTACGTGATCAAAACCTGCAAGGCTGGTTAAAGTTGTCTACGAAATAGTTATACTGGCTCTTTTCCTGAAACAGTTTTTGAAGAGAACGTATATTTCTTTTCAACTACATTACATTCTCTTTTTGAATGCCACATCTAGCTTACAACAGAACAGAAACAGGTTTACAGTTCGGGTTAATATTAGTGCAGTACTATAATCTTCCCCCTGTACAACGTGGAGTTACCCTGACATGACCTACCTTTGCTAGGAAAAGTAGCTGCTGACAGTATCAACGCCGATGTGCTAGTTTCCCTTTGCACGAGATGGTCGTTTAAAATCTGTATTGACTGTACCCTTTAGGATCTATGAGTTTGATCATTTCACATGCCTCAACCCTGCCATGAGTGAGTGAGTTTGATGCCGCTTTCATAAGTATCCCAGTACATCACATCGTGTTGATGTAAACGTACGTTTACCTGTTATCGTTATATATTCCGGGTTATTGTACAGCTGACTTCTGTAATACAGTATAAATGGGGCTTTGCCATCGACTAACTGTAGCGGTTATTGCAGTTATCGTAAAAAACGCAGGTGACATGTGATCTCACGAATTTCGTCAGTTATATAAATGACACTCAGTCATTATCTGGGTCCACGTTCAAACTAAACATCAACGGTAAAGCAATGGTGAAAATTATATTCATGGACATCAGCGCCACCAGGTGAACTGGGTAAACATGTCCTGCCCTGCTTGTAGCACCCGCCACTCGTACAATTTGCATGAAATGGTAAGTGTTTGTTGCCTGGCACCTGCGCATGTATTCCTGCCATGCGACGGCGGTCTGTAAACCAACAACACAATCAAATAATTAAGACAGACTGAGAGCGTACCCAGGAAGCAATATACTATGGGCTCACTAATGCTATCCGTCTTAATGAAACAAAGCTAATTGAGCTTGGTTAATTATATAAATTAAGAACGTATTTTTGTTAAGTCTATATTTAAAATACGATTCACCAATACATCCATAATATTCTTAAACGATACGCGATAAAAACGTGCCTTTATCGATTCATGTATTAACCCTGTATCGTTTAAAACAAGGACTTATTCATTCATATATTTTAGCAAAATTGCCATCAATTTAGAATTGCGATACATATCGTGTTGTGACATTCTTGCTTAACACATCCAATTTCAGATAACCAGCGTCCCTATAACCCACAGAAACAGGGCCTTCTTCAATGCAGTATATATGCCCATTTGTTATTGCTGTTTGTCACCCCTGCGCATAAATCTGTATACAATTATTGATATGTCATAAATCTTAAAAACCAGCAGGAAGTAATAAAACGCGTCTACACGAAAGTGCGACATATTGGTGAAATGTCCGTTGGCACGTCTTGGTAAAAAAGTACGGATAAGTCTACTATGTAATTAAAACCGGCCCTCTAGGTCGATTATAATTACTCTGAGAAATATCCCCACCAACCTAAAGTGCAAGCTCATATGGTCTCAAATCCAAATCCACCACACCCACCGGTACTTTTCCTCCTTACACCCCTAGCAAAATACTAAATTCAAACTCTCAAGTCCAAAAATTACATGTGCAACCTTAACGATCCACCTTCTCAGCCTGCTCTCTTTCGGTCAGATTCCTCCCCTATTTTTTAACCCACACCAAATATCCTGGCAGACCCGTGTACGAAGTAGGCATCATCTCCAGAAGCGCACGTTAAATCTCTCAGCTAAAGTAAGAGAATCGTCAGTCCTCCAATTTCTTTGCATTATTTATTGACGTGTGAGAATGTAAGCGTGATCATCTTTCCCTTATTCAAGTTACAAGGTAACTTCTCAGTAAAGATGTATTGATTTTCGGGGGCTCTCTGAAGTGAAGAAAGTATTCATCATGGAAGCTCTGACGTCAGCTTACGAGATTGGGTTTATGACTGGTAACTTCAAGATCCTCTGCGATATTAAAATACGAAAATGAATTTTTGTTGATACGTTTTAAAATGCAATTTACTCAGTTACGAAGGCTAAGACAATATAGGTATTTTCTAGGTTCGTCGCTGGCCACAATATGTTATGGTTTTTTCATGTATTGATTTACAATAAAGTAAACCAAAAGTTATCAGATAACAACTATCCGTCAGGTCTTTCCATGGCTATCGTCTTTCCAATCTGTCCAATGAGCGAGTATCCCGCCTCGCCAAACTGGTTTGCTTAGGGAAACAAGATTTTGGTGGCTCTTATGAAAATCGGTAGATGTACTTTGCATGAGGATATATTTGACCCAGATTCTCTTTCCATGTATATTTTATATGCTCGGCTTTAATTACATGGAAAGTTCCTCCACGACATCATTGATAACCTGCACAATAATTAGACCTCTTTCCACAACTGCGATAGGTAAATACGAGTATTGGGAGCATCTTGGTAATTTGCAATGCTCTGGATCCGATTGAATCAAACTTTAATAAAGGTTTAATCGTTAATTAAACTATGAATTAGTTAGTCATTGATTATCTTCAGTTGCATGAAACCTTTAATAAAGGAATTCCTTCGAATTCATCATTAAGCTACTGAAGGTTTGGGGATATCATTAACTCGTCATTAGTTGTATCAACATGGCAGACGACATAATGTTCCATCAACTTGGACATCGGAGAAAAGAGAAACATTTTCATGAACGGATTAATCACTTGGAAAATAGGAGCAACGAAGAAGTCAGAGCGAGGTACCGTTTCAGTATTGAAGCGATACAGTACATCTATGGGTTGATTGTCGACAGTCTACGTCCTATGACAGCGAGATCTAGAGCACTGAGTGTGGGAATACAGGTATGCCTAACCATGACTAGTCTATTAAAACAGACAATATTCATGAAATACGCACTGTCACACACGCACAGTAACTAAGATAAAAAAAACATTTATTGACGAACGAAATCTACACTTATTAATGAAAAATGGGTAATTACTCATTACAAATAACATATATTCCTTTTGGTAGAGCAATAGTCATGTCTTACCCAGTCTATTTAATGATTACATACCCAAACACCAATCGATCTTAAAATTATCGTATCGCTGTCCAACAACAATGTCAAGGCCACTGTGATAAGGGAAGAAACACTTGTGAAAAGTCCTAAACATAAATTTAAAAGCGTACGAAATACTTAGAATATTGAAAGTTCGAGTTTATGTGTTAGTAACAAATTATTTATATTTAGTGAGTTTTGTGCATAGATAAATTAACAGTCGACTTTGCCTTTGTCATATAATTAATATATCCAGAAATTAATTGATCTTTATTGAAAAATACGAAAGCGAAAACATGTATTTCACGGTCAACACCTTCACCTTAAAATATGATTTTCAGTAACGCAAGAAATCAATAGTTATTGTAAAGACTATTGTAAGGTTATTTTTTTAATATATTGAAGACTTCAAATAATGTTTTTTAATTTCAACCTACATGCAGATATGAAACGCATAAAAGCAGCAGCCTCTGAATTTATTCCAGGTGCTAATAGCACTACGCTTCAATGCGACTGGCAGCTTCTTGCAAGTGATTGGCGACACGTTTGGGGGTATCTACTGTGTCAAGGGTTGTGCGAAAAGTTAGGCAAGCGCTAGCACGACTTCTACCACAGTTTGTTAAATGGTCAAACCATGGAAGAAAAGAGTATTCGAAGAAAGGAGTTCTTTCGTCTTGCTAAATTCCCTGGTGTAATAGGCTGCATCGATGGAACCCACGTAAGAATACAGGACCCCTCAACAGACGAACCAGCTGATGTAAACATAAACGGATTTCATTCTATAAACGTATATTTTATAAATATAAAATATTAAATGACCTAGGTTGTATGGAAGTGATGTTAATATAAGCTCGACAGCTTGTCCACCAATCCTAATTCATTTTCTTGACTCGAATACGTTTAAGCCAAATAAACAGATGCGAAATAAAACGTAAAACTTGCAAGGGAAAGTATTCATTGTGTGAATGAATAGATTATATATTTTCACCTGTTCATATTCTCTATAGTGTGAAGAGTATATAATGAGTAATTATAATATATTTATACGTATTAAACATAATTTGTTACTTTTCTATCAGGAAAGTTCACAAATGTAGTGGCAAGATGGCCCGGCAGCACTCATGACAGTCACGTTTTCAAAATGAGTCAACTTGGACAGAGCTTGCAAAATCAGAAAGCTACTCTTCAAACAGGAATTATTCTTGGGGACAGTGGCTATGCTTGTCGTCCATTTCTTTAAACCGAATCATTAACCTATTCAGACAATGACCTACTTTTCAGCCGATCCGAATTTTCTCGTGTGAAAGTAAAAGGAGACACTGAATTCCAATTCCTTGTTTCATAAGAAAATGGTATTTACAAGTTAATTTTAATTTTGAAATTTAATAACATCGTAATTCTATATTTTATGGCGAGGTGTAGGCAGCATGACCTAAACTAAGACGTCACAGACTGCCCTGATTGATGAGGTCGTAAAATGATTCACAATTCATCTGGCTAACTGGTTACATCGGTTATGTGTTTTTTCCGCTTATTCAGTGTAGTTTTGTAACGCACAATGTGATCGATATAATATCAAGTCCGTACCAGACCGCCAAACCTTTCTAGCGGCATGGCCTCGTTTTGAGATTTCCACGATATCCAGATTTCCTTTTGCCAGAGCACGCTGTACGACAGAGCACGCTGCACGACGTGTTTGCAAGGATTAGAAGGAGCGTAGTATTGCAATATACAAGTGGTTAGATGTATCAAATACTCCTGATTAATATTTATGTATCCAGTTGAATAAATTGGTCTCTGGACTGGTTGTTGTACTAAGTTGCGCAATAGGACGGAACCCAGTCAGCAGGAAACGAGACTGTTGTGTTTTGACTTGTGAAACCGTACATGCGAACTACTTCTGAGGACCAAGAGAACTTGAACTCCGCGCACAAGAGGACGAGGGTCACTATAGTGCGCGTATTTGGGTGGTGGACACACAGGTTCCACATTAGATACATGGTGAAATCCGAGAGAGAGAGTCCAGAGAGAGCATGTACAAACTCTATTTTGCATTTTGAAACATATTGTTCCAATTTGTCTTGATTTCTTTGGACGTTCTATTGCTTATCAAAAGGCTATTGACCTCGGCCGTTATTTTGTCCCATATCTGCTTCATTTTGTCATTAGCAATGGAGTTAGTCAGTTTGCTGTTTAACACACCGATATGATCTTCAACTAGGTCTGTTAGAACTTGTATTTCCCCGCATCCCCGTCTTGATCCGACCCTGAGATACGACCATTACACGATACAAACTCTCCTTTCCTGTAGTTTACACGAGTTGGCCAGATGTCAACAAGTCTCAAATAGACATTAAACACGCATTGCCACCTCATAATATAACTTCCTCAAAAGCGTGTGGAAAAACACTCGTCCACGGCCGCCAGGGACTTGTTTCCCTTTGACCAATAATCCACCCAAACATATTGTCAGGTTATCTTCAGGGGAAACATTTGGGGGAAAACACATGACAAAGTTGACTTTTCTTGGACATTTGCAAAGTTTCGCTCGAGTTATTTTGCGTATTTTACAAAATTATCATGTCCTTCTTTTGTCAGCTTCCCAGACATTTGGCTCCAGTTGTTCCGATGACAGTGAATGTACGTTCACAAGACACACTTCCTGTGTGGCGGGATCCTGCAAATGTTCAACCTCACGGACAGGGGATGAATGTGAAGGTACAAAGTCCATAAACAGAGTGGCTTTAATTTAGCATTTCACCGATTAAGCGCGTTTTTTACATAAATGAACGGTCTATTGATTGTTTGAAAATATTAATTGGTAACGCGTTTCCTTCTGCTATATCGTTCGCACAAATTGATTTTTCACATTAAACATATGCACATGAAAGGTATGCCATTGATTGGGTTTCTATGGTTGACAGGCGTCGATACGACACAAACAGCGACAACGAGCGCTGCAGCACAGACAACCACGACAGCAACCCTGATAACCACCGCTGCAACCCCGACAGCCGCCACGGCAACCCCGACAACCGCCACGGCAACCCCGACAACCGCCACTGCAACCCCGACAACCGCCACTACAACCCCGTCAACCGCCACTGCAACCCCGTCAACCGCCACTGCAACCCAGACAACCGCCACTGCAACCCAGACAACCGCCATTGCAACTCCGACAACCGCCACTGCAACCCAGACAACCGCCACTACAACCCAGACAACCGCCCACTGACAACTACCACTGCAACACTGCAACCCCCGGGATAACCGCCACTACAAACTCTGCCAACCACTGCAACCTCTTGCCAACCGCCACTGCAACCCCGGGATACAACCGCCACTGCAACCTAGATAAATCCTCGCCATTGCAACCTTGATAAACTTCGCCATCACTGCAACCCCGACAACCGCCACTGCAGCAGACCACAGCCATGCAGCCCCGACCAGCCGCAAATGCAGCAGACAAACAACCACTGCAAGTGGACGGGTAATTGCCGCAGACCAGTGATCCCTGGCATCACGCACAAAAGATACAGATATCCATTAACATCAGGTAAGACTTTCCACAACGAGGAACCAGGGAACCAGCGTTGTCCATCGGACACCAGTTGTCTCAAGAGGAGCACCTTGTATATTTGTGCAATACGGTACAGACTGCATTGATCTCTACAAATACTATAAACAGTCAATTGAGATAGCTGATTTGGTGTCGGAATTAGCAACAGAGGTGCGATGTTCTTTGACTCGGGTGTTGATGGGTCGGGATGTTTCACCTATGTAGCATTGTCCACAATCACAGTCTATTTTGTAAATAACACATTTCGGGTTGTTGTTGTTGACGGTGGGTTGTTTTCTTCCGTTGGCATGGAGGAGGTTGTTGAGGCTGGAGGACGCTGAGAAGGTAGTGTCTATTCCTGCCTGTTGTTTCAGGAGTCGGCTGATTTGGTGTGATGGTTTACCAATGTAGGGAATGGATATCTTGATGGGGGCTGATTCTGGTTTAGACCTTTTGGCAGGAGGTGAAAGCGTTGCTTCGATGGTTCTGTTGACTATTTCAGGTGGGTAGTGGTTGCGTTCCACAAAGACTTTCCTCAGGTGTTCAATTTCTTCCTGTAGGTTTGTTGAGCAGATGGTTTTGGCTCTTCTGGTCAATGTAGAGATGACGCCGGTCTTGACTTTAGGTGGGTGGTTGGAGTTGTAGTGGATGTATTGATCCGTATGAGTTGGTTTTCTGTACACGGAGGTCTGGAGTTGGTTGCAGGAGGTGCGGGACACAAGGACATCGAGGAAAGGTAGTTGGTTGTTCTGCTCTGTTTCAATGGTGAATTTGATGCGGGGATGTTGGCTGTTGAGATGGGCGAGGAGCTGCTTTGGATCTTGCTGAGGTTATTGTACGTCTCAACTTCTAAAATGCCACTCAAACAAGTTCAAGGAGTAAGGTTTTAGCGTTATCATTATAACGAGCTGAATGGGGATTAACACATAGCATAGCATCTCTGAATAATTGCATCTCTGAATCATAGCATCTCTGAATCACATCATCTCTGAATCACAGCATCTCTGAATCACAGCATCTCTAAATCACAGAATCTCTGAATCACAGCATCTCTGAATCATTGCATCTCTGAATTACAGCATCTCTGAATCACAGCATCTCTGAATCACATCATCTCTGAATCACAGCATCTCTGAATCACAGCATCTCTGAATCATAGCATCTCTCAATCACAGCATCTCTGAATCACAACATCTCTGAATCATAGCATCTCTGAATCATAGCATCTCTCAATTATTATTTTTTCCAACGTTGCAGCGCAGCCAATCTGTGGCTTGGGGGGCGACTGCGGTGGTCTGGCCAACTCGGCGTGTGATGGCAGTCTGTGTACCTGCAGCATCGGATATAACTATAACCCTGTCACGAACGCTTGTGACACCTTGGATAGTGAGATAATTTAAAATTTCATTAAATCTGTATTCCTGGTGGGATAAGGGGTAGATATATAGCGTGGTTGGATTTTCAAAAAGCAGGTATAACGTCATATAAAGAATTATAATGAGATTTAAATTATTTATGATTGTGGGTTGCTGTGCGATTTACCAGTTGGACAGAACTATTGCATTTGCCGATTTTCGGACATGTTAACCCTACGATGCTCTTAAATTGTGCATGCTGGCGGTGATAATGCTAAGTTAATTATTGACAAGGCCCAGTTTCTGTGACAGAACACTGACGGTAATTTGTTGAATCGAAGGGAGGGTGTTTATGGCGAACATGAAACAAATAATGAATCAATGCATTTAACATTTTCATTTTTCCTCAGATTGTGCCGAATTTCTGGACACATTTTCAGTTTATTTGGGCATCTTCAGTTTTTATTCTGAAGATGAGAGGCGCCCAGCGACATCTGTTCAGCAGTGTTTGGACATGTGTGTCGGCTCTACTACTATTACCTGCAAAAACTTTGAGGTGTCATCGCTGATAATCTTGACGTGCTATATGCACCAGACCACGTGGTTTGAGTTTCCAACATCGGTGCATTCACATGGAGCTGCCTACAACCACTATCAGCGGAACTGTGATTGGAAAACAGGTGAAGTATACCCGTTGAACTTAACATTGAAGCCTTAAAACTGAACCCCAAAGTGCACGGTCCCACATAAAGTAAGCGATATGGTCACAAAAAGAACCTTAATGTCCCAACATAAAGGGCCTGTAGAAATGAGATCATCACACAAGTTTGATATGTTGTATATGTTTTCATGTCCTGTATTATATAAATGATTTTGTCAGGTGTACGTTCGTGTTCATATCGAGATCAATGTCACTTCTGCAGACGATAAGTTAATTGAGAAGATACCCTTTAATTGAAACTCAAATATATACTCGGCGTCATTAATGAAGACTCAAGCTATTGGTAACACCATTTCCTACACAAGATATTGAATAACCGAGTGCTTCATATTTGTCATTTTCAGTTGGGGGTTGGTCTATACAACCGATGTTTGCTAGTGCTGTTTGAACTTTTTGTCTGTATGTCACGATGCATCACGTTTGTCAACACATTAAACATTATAATGACACTCTTAGTTCTATTATTTCTGAAAAAGTTTTCTTTACATGTCCTATATATTATTTGACCCTTTATTAATGACGCCTAGTATATATCAGAATATAACACTGTACTATAAATACTGACGACCACATGTCATTTTTGGGCATATAATTCTTAAAAAATATTTATATACTAGGGCTAAAAATAAGGCAACAGGTAAATTATAGTGAAGATGTAATAGCGTAATGTTTGTACAGTTTATTTCGGATTCTATAATCTTGTGTGTCCACCATGTCGCGCAATACATGCATGGTTAAGGTGATGACCCGGTCGTAAATTGTAGCTCAAAGCAAACATGTAATACAGCGACGGATCGTTTGTACTGACCATGAATGTTATTTGGGTACAGTGACCGTTGGCACTGGCTGCAGAGAAAACGTGGACTGTTCCCCGTTGACTAACGCCGAATGCGTGGCGGGTAAATGCGCGTGTAACAGCGGAACCCGCCTGGTACCCAGGGTCAACAAATGTCTCACATTCCAAGGTAAACGTGTAGAATCTCCTTCCATTCTTCAGAACATCATGTAATTTCCATTTTCGCGAACCCCTGGTCCTGTAACTGATTTTCCAGTGGTCAATTCATATATTACCTTTTATCAATATTTTGCCTTTTATTCCCAGTGGAATACTTTTTAGGGTATCCGAGATTATTTCTCTGGCGTTGATGTGTTATATGAAGCACAACAACTCACTGTATCCATAAGTTCGAAGTTTCCACTGGTCGTATACCTGCAACCCATTTAAATTACAACTTTCGGAATAAACATATCAACCCAAACACATTCATTTCGTGTAAAATCAGCAGTTAGTCACAACGAATGTATTCTCGGTTCAACCCAAAGCCCCAATATACAGACTGATTAGTATCTTGTTTTCATCCGTCAATTTCAGGATACGGCAAGGGTTGTACTGCTGACAGTGACTGCTACTCTCTGCTGGAAGCCTTCTGTCTGTCGGGAGTGTGTACATGTAGACACGGATACAGCTATTCGCCAGCTGGACAGTACTGTAGGGCCTTAAAAGGTGCGTATCTACCGTACTTTGACGTGCTAATGTCCTTAACCCGTTGACTGAGTGTAATGCTTTAACAAAGAAGGTAATTATACACTGACATGCTTCACGGAACTCACCTGGTATGGTCATGTTTTCTGTGGCGCTGTATATTAAACATTAAATGATCTAATGAAACAAGTAAATACTTGATACAATTACAGCTGAGTGGATATATTCACCTTTGTTCTTCAACGTATCTTTATGGTCAAAGCAAGCATTGTTCCTTTCTTTTGAATATAAGGTTTTATATGTTTATACTACAACATAACGGTGGGAGCTATTAGGCTTGTATACATCACTTGTATTACTTTCCATTGGCGATTATTTATATCTATTAAGCCATCACATTTCTAATGATCTTATGTGAGTAATATATAGCCTCTTCTTTATCAGCGATTAATTGATTATTACCTCAGCAGTTAACCCTTTCAAAATGTGCTAGTCTCAGCAGATAGCAAATCAGTAAATATTTAGGTTAACATTTAGCCATATCGAAAATAATAAGATGAAGATTTAACCATTTAAAAATAGTTAGGTAAACATTTGACCACTTAGAAAATAGTTAGCTACGCTTAGAACCAGTTCAAAATTTGTTTACTAAACTCAGATACAAGAAGTTACCAAAGTATTTAAGCACTTCCGCAAACATTTAACCTTTAAACATATAACTACTCAAGTTGTTCGTCAAGGTCCCAGAATTTAGCAATTAATTCGGGACATTCCAAACTATTTAACTAATAGTTACAATCATGCAGATTCAATCAAATAACAAATAGATATGCTCAGACTCGTTTACCATATGCTCATCTACCCTTGGAACATTTAGAATAGTAAATTAAGCTCTGAACAAATTAGGCAATAATAAGTTAAGCTCACAACCAGTTAGAAACAAATGAATCTGTTTCAGTACATGAACAAATATTATCATTCTTGTTTGTTTCAGAGTGCACAAAGTTTAAGGATACATTCACCACGTATCCAGACTCGGTGATTCTTCTTCACGACGTTGGGTCTTATATATTCTCTAACCCAACCAAATGTAAAAATTCATGTATCAATTCCGGAATCTTCTGCAAGTCTGCCGACCTCAGTGTGCTGGCCGTCTGCTTTACGTCCGATGTCACATGGCAGGAGGCGACCGGTGAAACGTCCAGCTTCGACACGACATATACCCACTTACAGCGTGACTGTGACTGGTCTTAACTAGTGGAATTGTGGACGACGTTTAAAAACTAAGGCCTTATTTTATTATTATTTATTTTTTATTATAGGATATTTATATAGCGCACATATCCACGCACTAGTGCATGCACAAGGCGCTGGTATTTTTTCCCTCGATCATTGGATGTCAATCTCAACGGCACATCACATTATCAATCTCAACTCCCTGGGGAGTATACAACTCTTGCAGCCACTAGGCGCACCGAGTTATTGTGGCTTTCTCATCCTAAGTGGGGGCGGTGGGGTAGCCTGATGGTTAAAGCGTTGACTCGTCACGCCGAAGACCCGGGTTCGAATCCCCACATGGGCACAATGTGTGAAGCCCATTTCTGGTGTCCCCGCCGTGATGTTGCTGGAATATTGCTAAAAGCGGCGTAAAACCAAACTCAGTCAGTCATCCTAAGTGTGACTCAACTTTTCAAAAAACACGAACATGCTGATTCAACAGGAATTTCTTTTAGCCATCTTAAACGAATACCCTATGTTATTTTTGCACCCCGACACACGTTGCCTGGTGTCGGCTTTATTTTTTGTGCAGAGCCCGATATAATTTTTCACGAATACATCGAGTTGTATAGTAATGATCCCGCCTTGATTTCACAATGTGCGGGCTAGTTTTCCAACCACACTGATCCCACACTTTGTGATAAACTTTCTGTTCAAAGCGGCGTGACTCGCTCACCTGACCACTTTCCTAACCAGATGACAGGTGAATAGAGTTCATTAACTCTAATTAACGTCGCTTACCAAGCGTAGTACTATAGTCCGTTTGGCTCAAAAGCGGACCGATGAATTGCAACCTAACTCGAAAGATAATACACATATAATACTCATTGAAACACTGATCATAATCAAAACATCAGACCAACTACCTGATTTATTTGCAGAATTTATGTCCTAAAGATAAAAAAGTTGTTTAACAAACTATCATTAAAATTCACGATTTGTTACGAAGGAGGAATGCAAAGACAGGGACAGCCAGGTGTGCGAGAATGGATGGAGACGGCACAGCACAGGCTAATGAATCAATAACTTTGTCGGCACTTGTGCACGTGCTTCTCGAACACCTGGCTGTCCCTTTCTCTGCAACTCCTCCCTCGTAACACACAGTGAACTGTGAACAAATTTCAATGATAGTTTGTTAAACAACTTTTTTATTTTATGACATAAATTCTGCAAATAAATCACAGAGTTGGTCTGATGTTTTATATGATCAGCGTTTCATTGAGTATTATATGTTTATTGTTTTTAGAATTAGGTTGCAATTCATCGGTCCGCTTTTAAGCCAAACGGACCATATGACGAGCCAGTGATACGTCGTTCCTTGAGGGTGTATTTGTAGTGTTCCGCCTCACATATTGCTGCAATACCTGTACAACGGTACGAGTTTCTTTCCTTCAATATGGGGTTGTGTGTATAGTAGTCCACATGTTATCTTGTTGAATATTATCGTATCTTGTTGAATATTATCGTCATGATCTGTATTGCTTTCATCACTGCTATGGTATTATACCACCTTTAAATGCCTTCTTGTGTACTGTCATAGTGAGAGCTTTGTAGTGGTTTGTAAACGTCTTTAATTTCAGAATACAATTGTTAATTTCATCATATTTCGTTGTTGTTTGTTGGTTTAAAACCTGCTTCTTTTACGGACTGAATCACGGTTAACTTCTGAGTTCCACCTGAGGAATCAACTCGTAACACTATGGTCGTTACGCTTTCACGGACCAGACTCAGGCATACGTATAACTCTCCATTTGTCAGTTTCCCCGATTCGAACATCCAGAAAGACGAAGTGTAATTTTCAGATCGGAACTTTTTAAGACTGTGAATACACACTGCCATTTGGAAAGTGGTCAAATGTAACACATGTTATATTTGGGATTACACTTTCCCAGTGATGTTTTGTTTGGTTAGATCGGTCTAGATGGCTAACTTTGTATGCTGGCGTTTGTGTGCCTGACTCTGAGAGTGTGGGTTCGAATCCCGTATGGAACTTAACCCAACATAAGTACTAGTATCTGTACTTTACTTGGAAAGTGTAAACCCAAATAAAATACGGATACGTGTTCTTAAGACTGTAGTGAGTGGAAATGATGAGAGTCTGATTGTGCGGAATTTGCAAGTGAACATTGCTTGAACATTTGCTTTCTGACAAAGACCCGATTTGTTTGCATGCCACTCCCGGAACCGATCATATCCAGATCTCGACCAGAACACTGTGTGCTGTGCTGTGCTGTGCTGTGCTGTGCTGTGCTGTGCTGTGCTGCTGTGCTGTGCTGTGCTGTGCTGTGCAAACTGCTAAATACTCGACCACATCAATGGGTGCTGTGCTGTTCTGTGCAAACTGCTAAATACTCGACCAGATCACTGTGTGCTGTTCTGTGCAAACTGCTAAATACCCGACCAGATCACTGTGTGCTGTGCTATGCTGTGCTGTGCTGTGCTGTGCAAACTGCTAAATACCCGACCAGATCACTGTGTGCTGTGCTGTGCAAACTGCTAAATACCCGACCAGATCAATGTGTGCTGTGCTGTGCTGTGCTGTGCAAACTGCTAAATACTCGACCAGATCACTGTGTGCTGTGCTGTGCAAACTGCTAAATACTCGACCAGATCACTGTGTGCTGTGCTGTGCAAACTGCTAAATACTCGACCACATCACTGTGTGCTGTGCTGTGCAAACTGCTAAATACTCGACCACATCAATGGGTGCTGTGCTGTGCAAACTGCTAAATACCCGACCAGATGACTGTGTGCTGTTCTGTGCAAACTGTTAAATACCCGACCAGATCACTGTGTGCTGTGCTGTTCTGTGCAAACTGCTAAATACTCGACCAGATCACTGTGTGCTGTGCTGTGCTGTGCTTTGCAAACTGCTAAATACTCGACCACATCACTGTGTGCTGTGCTATGCTGTGTTGTGCAAACTGTTAAATATTTGACCAGATCACTGTGTGCTGTGCTGTGCTGTGCAAACTGCTAAATACTCGACCAGATCACTGTGTGCTGTGCTGTGCTGTGCAAACTGCTAAATACTCGACCAGATCACTGTGTGCTGTTCTGTGCAAACTGCTAAATACTCGACCAGATCACTGTGTGCTGTGCTGTGCTGTGCTGTGCTGTGCTGTGCTGTGCAAACTGCTAAATACTCGACCAGATCACTGTGTGCTGTTCTGTGCAAACTGCTAAATACTCGACCAGATCACTGTGTGCTGTGCTGTGCTGTGCAAACTGCTAAATACTCGACCAGATCACTGTGTTGTGCTGTGCAAACTGCTAAATACTCGACCAGATCACTGTGTTGTGCTGTGCAAACTGCTAAATACTCGACCAGATCACTGTGTGCTGTGTTGTGTGCAAACTGCTAAATACTCGACCAGATCACTGTGTGCTGTGCTGTGCTGTGCTGTGCAAACTGCTAAATACTCGACCAGATCACTGTGTGCTGCTGTGCAAAACTGTGATCACTGTGTTGTGCTGTGCAAACTGCTAAATACTCGACCAGATCACTGTGTTGTGCTGTGCAAACTGCTAAATACTCGACCAGATCATACTCGACCAGATGTGTTGTGCTGTGCAAACTGCTAAATACTCGACCAGATCACTGTGTGCTGTGCTGTGCTGTGCTGTGCAAACTGCTAAATACTCGACCAGATCTATGTGTGCTGTTCTGTGCAAACTGCTAAATACTCGACCAGATCTATGTGTGCTGCACAAACTGCTAAATACTTGACCAGATCACTGTGTGCTGTGCAAACTGCTAAATACTCGACCAGATCACTGTGTGCTGTGCTGTGCAAACTGCTAAATACTCGACCAGATCACTGTGTGCTGTGCTGTGCAAACTGCTAAATAGTCCACCAGATGACTGTGTGCTGTTCTCTGCTGTGCAAACTGCTAAATACTCGACCAGCTGTTTTTTTAACCATTCACCTATATTTGACAAGATCGGTATGTGTTGTACTGGCAAAGTGTTCGACGGTGTGTATAGCATTGTGCGTCAAAATTGAAATGGATGTCCCCAGCTACAGACTCCCCTTCCTACAAAGTTGATCTTCAAAGTTGCATAGGCCTTTCCTTTCCTCTTTTACCCGTGAGTATCATGAGTATCTTTCTCTGGGTAGTTTGTGTGAGGAAAACAAACTCACTGTGTGTGAATATCTTATGTGCGCTTGTCACTTGTTGCAGTCTTTGCCAAGTTTACCTCTATAATGAGAATTAATGTATTCGTCCCCAGCTTCTATATTCGTTTAAAACTCACGTAACTCACTTTCGCTAGTTTAATACACAATTGACTCCTAACGTATTCTTGAACGAAGTGCTGCTAATGCACTTCATATGAGTGGTAGATATGTTTGCTATGACGCTGATGAATAACCAGTTCTGGAGAAGTCAGTTTCACTCACATGTTGCTGACAACACACGATGCCCAGAGTCTTGAGATTAAATGAGTTCCTGGTCACGTTGATTTCCTCGGAGCTGCGTTAAAAACAACTTTACTACATTAGTATCCGTACCATAACAACGCGTCCAGTTCGTCCATCACCACTCCTTCTCTTGCTGTTCTTGCTCGTCCCCGTTTAGGAATGATTGGGTACGTTTATTGTCAGAAATGTTAGGACCTAAATCCTACCACCTGGCAATTCAGGATGACATTAAACCATTAAGAGTAAGTGACGCTATTGTTGTTACAGAAATCCACTGGCCATACACTCTCGCCAATACTGCACTCCATGTCAATGCAAATATATGTTCAAAATTAAAATTTAATTATCTATCAACCATGACGTGGTTACAGTTTGAGAAATCACTCGACTCTATAAATTCAGGGAGTACAGCCAACTTTCCTTTTCCGTGCTTGTCTGTTCTACTTCCGGATTCAACAGAGTCAAGTGCTTGTCCATTTACTAAAATGACACCGCGTTTATAAGAGAACCACACAAAATCGGAAACAGTGGATCTGTTCAGTACCTAAGGAACATTCTGATACGCATTAATATATTAATAACGCCACATCATTGTAGATCTTTCTGGTCGTCATAACTCTCATATTTCAAATTTTAGTCAAGGAGATACACTTGTTCGTAGTCTACATATGAACTGTTCTCATCCGACAGTCAACAGTCATTATACTTTGGTCGAGGCCATACGAGTCATGTTACCTGACTAGTTACCGCCGTGAGGGTCACCAGTCAAACCTTCCAGTTGTACACAATGCTCTATGCCGCTGCTCTTGTGTTTTTCCAACATGTGTTCATCATTGCCGCTGCTGCAAGTACAGGTAAGGTCATTTACTTTAATTGTCCAACAGCAACAACGACAGTGTATTAATTGTCGTTCAACCTCCTTAAACTGTCATAAGTATTGGTTTTATTACATGCACTGAAATTTAAACCAGAGTGTTTTTCACAAGAGAAAACGGTGTCTGCTTATGGTAATGCTGTATCTTTGGAGAAAACTTCGCCAACTAATATTGTTCCTTTAGTGTTATAGAAATCCAAATAAATGCTACAAAACCCTTTCCTTACCCGTAAGGCATCTCTGCTAATAGCAGTCGAGTTTACTATTCCGACTCTCTCATGAGCATGTGTTCATTATTCACTATCACAATTGTGATTGTACTAGATGGTGAGCGTATCCTGCCCCGCCGGCGTCACCCGTCATAAACACATGCAAAGGCTAGTCAAATATTCACCTGAAACAAATCGGGACAACTCAAAGCACCGGTACAAGAGGGTACAAAATGCATATACTGAAAATGGCATCATATTTAAGGCTCACGACAACAGGAACTGGTCAGTACTTGTAATTGTGGGTGTATCGTATTTGAACAGTCGTCCCCCGCTGTATGTATCGAAGACGAGTGAATGTAGGTTTTGTTTGTTATATTGTAGTGTAATTCATGATTAAAAAGTCTTATTTGTTTTATTCGTATTACGTTGTTTCTGGCAAGTTTCAGAAGTTTAGTAGTTAGGATCACAACAGTACATGAATGGACAATGTGGGTTCGAATCCTGAATGGGACTCAACCTGAACAGATGTACGAGAATTTGTACTTAACTAAGAAAGTGTAATCATACATGTATAATTCGTGTAACAACATGGTGTTTTTAAAAGGAGTGGTTGTCAGGAATATATTACAAATATATGTTTCGATATGGTATGGTCAACCTGGATAACCTGCCTATGCCTATTTTGTTATACTGTCATTCTAATTGTACTTCAGTTGTATTTTGCCCTATCTCTCAATTGTGGGCTACCATTGTAATCAAATAATTAATTAAACAAGTAACAAAGTAATTTGAAATTTGTTTTACACCTGACCCGTGAAGATCCGGGGTAGAATAGGCCTTCAGCAACCCATTCTTGTCATAAAAGGCGACTATGCTTGTCGTAAAAGGCGACTAACGGGATCGTGTGGTCAGGCACGCTGACTTGGTTGACACATGTCATCGGTTCCCAATTGTGCAGATCAATGCTCATGCTGTTGATCACTGGATTGTCTGGTCCAGTCTCGATTATTTACAGACCGCCGCCGTATAGCTGGAATATTGCTGAGTGCGGCGTAAAACTAAACTCACTCACTCACTCACTGTTTTACACCTAGTTATTCTAAAAATGCAAATTGTTCATTGTATAACAGTTTGGGGACTTTTGTGTTAGTTTCACACTGAATTCTGTTGCATAAAGATCTCTAGGTTAACCCACTGTTTTATCTTGGAAGTTGATACGTTACATTCTATGTAATATGGGTACATGAGGAAGGTGTTTAAATGTCTATTGACCATCATGCGCATAGCTACGAGACCGTGAGTGAAGCTGGAGACAAAATGTTACAGAGCGAGTTCTCACGGAGACATCATGCCAGCCATGTTGGGACGAGCTGGTCGACCAGTCGACAAAATAGTAAAATGACTAGTAACGTATCGCTGATGTTTTTTTTGTTTAAACAGAATGTGACAGCACATGTATTTCATGAGGCATTAAGTATTGTCATTAAATAATTAAAGAACAGATAATGAATGTTACAGTTTTATTTCGTCGATGTTGTGCAATGATCGGGTAAACCATGGTGTGACCCAAATAAGCGCAACGGATGTGAGCGGAAGTAGCTCTGCTTCCGAGTATCTGTTATAGGGCGAGTGCAAAGTACAGAGTGACATCCCCGTGTCAGTTCCTGCGTGCGTTGTACGTCTATACCCGTGGTCACTTCGAGCTTTCAACCAACATCTAATAAATTTAAACTATTACTAAAATTAATCCAACATCATTCGCTATCTGGATCACCACGCGCAAATTCAGAACACTGCCAGTAAAGGAACGTGCGTGGAAGTAAGATACATGCTAGATATGTTTTATTGTGTTGCCATGTCTGAATCCGAACACGTGTTTACCACTTAAGGAGGCCTATATGCCGCACATAATCACTTTATATTAAACGCTCCACATTATTAAATGTATTTACTCTCTATATTGCAGTTTAATTTATCTATTACACAATTCTGTAATTGTATTTCATTGTTTCTGGTAGATTCATGAAGTCCATGATTACATTGTGTTTTAACAATAATTAGTTGCCAGGAACGATGGAAATAGTGGTGGATAGGTTACATTTTTTATGCCTTTGTATTTTTTATGAACTTTAGACTCATCGAGCATGGTAAGGAGCTTTCTGGAGGAACTTTAGGCTGTCTAAGAAGGCAGGCACATGTCTCTCTCGAGTCAAATTACGTCATGTTTGTAATCATGTTTCCATACTGGATATCCAGTCTCGGCATATTGTGGAGGATTGACTGCTGCTGTGGGGTGAAGTTCATTGTGGTTGGTACTTCTATTTTGTTTCATACTGCCATTAAATTTTGTATTGCCACTCCACTGTGTAATGCCACTGGATTTACGATAACGTGTAGTGGTTTGTAAACCGAGTTATATTTCTGATAAATTATTCAGTGTACAACGATTCTTTGTTATTCATTGATTTGACATTGGACTCTTTGAATATAGAATTCTGGCTTAACTGTTTATGGGGCTTCACATTGATAGCTTCAGTTTCAGTTTTCGCGATAAGGCCGACATATGGAGTTCGTATCTGTTACACTGTTCTGGACACCGGCACATTAAGCGATATAAACCCCCCAAACTCAGGCATGATATATATAAAGGAATCAAGTTCTGACAAAGATGATGTAGATCTACCTTGTACGTGTCATGATTGTAAAATTATTCCTTTCCCTGTGTAGTGGGTGGATATATAATGTACTAGGTCTAGCATGATCTTTGCTTCTGCCTTTACACTATCGACACACTATGTCTTCATGCTTTGACATCTTTCCTTTGTCATCTGTCTTGTTATTATGTTTACGTGTCTCTAACAGTGAGATTGTCTCTACCAATTACTATTCAATGCAAATATGAATCAAGAGTAATATATGTTCAATTTAATTTATACTAGTTCTTTGACAGATGAGTGTTTTTGGAGCGTTCTAGCAACAGCCCTTTCCCAAAGGTGTTGGCTACAATTAGTGGAGGGCAAATAAGAAACATTTTGTAAATGAGTTACAGCTGGCAATGTCAATTGTATTGTTTGTATGAAGCTATGGAAAGTTAACCATATGGGAAATATATACTGTGGAAGCTACCTCCAGACACAGAAAGTCATTCAGATGATTTTAAAGGAGCAATGTATATATGCAACCAGGGTTTTAAGGAATGCGATCTCCAACAAAATGTTCTACAATGTCACGGACGCCACATCAGGTGTCATGAGCAATAGAAACTGTACTGGTGATGCATCTTCTCCAGAGAAATGGGACTTTCGCTTTAATGTGAAGACACTGATTTGCTTTTCGATTTGTATTCGAACAAGGAAAGAGTTGCTGTCCCTGAACTTGATCCATTTTGGAATGAAATGCAGGTTTCTAGAGAAAGGACTGCATTTCTAAATGGATGTATAACTGAACATGTCTTTGTATCATGTTCCACCTTAGTAGAAGCCTTGACAACAACCAGCCACTCGAACAGGACCCACGCAGAATTTGGCTCTTCTGGATGTTGCACTGAATGCGTTGTGATTTGGATAGATTACACTCAACCCAGGTCGAATTGGCGTTCTTAAGCTGTCCGGCCACTTCGCGAATGCTTGATCTATGTCATTTGTTGATTGGCCGCACAGTAATTATACAATTGAAAAGAAAGTCATAACCAGAAAAGCATTGATAGTAGAGGATATTGAGGTATCAATGACAACAGTTATGCTAATAATAGTCACTACGTGGACATGTATAAAATATTCCAGGTTTTATTCCAGATGAACGATTGGCTTGCCTTTGCATGTGTTTGTGACAGGTACCATCCTCTTGGGCAAGATACGTTTACCTTTTTAAGAACACCTGGTGTCGTCACTATTTGATTGTGATTCATAAACGTATATACTCACATGTGTACAAAATGTACAATGTAAATATGTACACTCGATTCACTGTACACTGTACACTCAGCATTTACATGCATATGGGGTGGGCTTTGTCTCTATATTTGAAGCATGAAAAGAACACATCAATAATCCACGTATAAACGTAAACGTAAAACGTACGATATTCATTCAGTATAACAACTAAGATTAATTCTAAATGTGTAGAGATCCCCTGCCATTATGAGTAAAGATTTATCCCTCTCATAAGGAGGGTATAGGGTTGGCACGTGGTTAAAATGCCAGCATAACACAGAGTTAAAGTGTTCAATTCTTTTCACTTTCAAACTGTTTTACAATTCACTGCAATTCACTGCGATGACATGTTTCTCAGGTCAAGTTGTTGTCGTCGTCACTGACTTCAGTGGCGGTATCTACAAATACACCATGAACGGTGACGTCGCAACGCCGATGGAGCCGTCATTCCTTGAAACCAGCAAGAAGCCCTTACCCTTAGATTACGACCCTCTCTATCGGCAACTGTACTGGGTGAGACGGTCGACCAAGACGATCATGAAGGCATCTTTGGACGGTAGCAACAAACAGACTTTTCTCAAAACGTCAGCATGTAAGTTCATGATTTAAAACAAAATACAGAATCGAAATAATGATTATATTCTTCCTCGATGATATTTCATAAACGATGAGTGACTTGTTAGCTTTACGCCGCTTTTAGCAATATTTCAGCAATATCACGTCGGGTGACACCAGAAATAGGCTTTACACATTGAACCCATGTGGGGAATCGAACCCGGGTAATCGGCGTTACGAGCGAACGCTTTAACCACTAGGCTACCCTACCGCCCCCATAAACGATGAATATTGTTAATGCACGTATGGCAGCCTAATGACAAATGTATTGGCACATGGTTGTTAAAATACAAATTACTTTCTCCAACGATCGATGGGAAACATTATATTCGTATAATCCGAAGATGCACAGTATCTTATTTAACAACCCAAACTGTCTGTTTTATTAACAGCCATCCGAGACATCCCTATCGACGCGGAAACCAGGCAGATGTTTTACATTGATGATACCACCAATGCTATTTATTGCGTGAATATGACGACTAAGAGCGTCTCAAGAATCATAAATACGAAAAGTGATCCTCATTCACTGGTGTTGGATACGTCGCGAAGGTCAGAATGTTTAGTTCTTTTCTCATTTTATTTGGGTACAGTAATGCCTCTTATTGATTGGTTAAAGATGATATTAGTCTCCGGAATGAAATGTGTCGAAACGAAACCAACAATCTCTGATGATATGCCTTTTTCCGAAATATTCAATTCACTGTGCCTGTGACATAGCAGCTACAAAGTTGCCACGGATGCCCCGAGGCTGTTGTTCGTCTCTGGGCGCAGGAACGAGCAATCCTTGAACGTATCCGTAACCCCACATATACCTGCAACGTAGCGTACGGCAACATTGTTTACACATATATTACCCCTGCAGATCCGGGTCAAATTGATCTCCAGCATTTCAGCAGATTATTTTTGCCTTCATCTACAACATGCTCTTTGAATCATGTTGCAATCATGAAGTATAAATATTGATACCAAGTGTTTACATAACATAAGAGTTGATCACAAAACATCAATATGAATGTTGATTATCTATTGCACCTTCTATTGTAAACCCGCGAAGTACGAAAGACAGAACGATATCATCCCCCATAACATATCAATCGTAGACTCAACAAGATTATGTTGTACATATGAAATTACAAGCCTGAATTATTTAAGAGACTTTGAAACAAAGGTTTAGAAATAACAAAAACAAATGCACAAAATGTTTTAGGCTCCTGTATTGGACTGATGTTGGGAAGGGAGAAATTGAACAAGTTTCATATGAGGGAACCAACAGAATGCTGCTAGCACGAACAGGACGCTGGCCGACGGGACTTGTTATGGACCAAAAAGGTATTTTGTTGTGTAGTTCCTCAAATTCTGCGTTCCTTCAACCAGATGTTGTTCAATTCTTTGATTGGATGTTGTCTTGTATACTTTTTTGATGTTTCCTGTTTCAGTTAACAATTTTGGACATCCAAGAAATTATATGTAAACAATCGTTAAATCGTGGATTTGAGAAATGTAATGTCCATACAGTTGGTTTTCATATAGTTTATCAAACAGTTCTTGTAGTTCTTGTAATAGATAAACATAATTTCAATCTCTACTGAAACAATTAAACTTGTCTCATTTACATATGTTATTTTTACGATTTTCTCAGTAAAGTACCGACTCTTGTACTTATGTTAAGTAGTTGGGTTGGGCCGCCAACCCACACTCTTCACAAATACTAATCAAGAAGTATATTTCAGTTTGTAGGCCATTGGCCCATGTACAAAAATCAATACAAATGAAGTTGTGCATGATGGCAATAGGCAGACATTTGTGTTGTCAAGTTATAGAAGATCGACAGTTAAGAGATGATTTGATAAATTTAGCACAATTCAATAAATGTACAATGTCGTTAGAGGTTATTAACTTTATGAATTTGCAAGTGAGTGAGTGAGTGAGTTAATATTTAACGTCACATCGGCAATATTTCAGCCATATCGTGACGAGAACATTTGATATTGAAATGAAATATATGTATATTATAAAAAAAACCTGTCGACAAAGGACAGTAAAGCAACTAGAGTATCACAGATATACTTGTAAAACTAGTAATTAAATCTAAAACATTTCAATTATAGGGGACAGAACAATATAAAAATAGGCTATAGATCGCCAACAACTGAAGGTAGATCACCATACTAGGGACCATGGGGACTTACATGAATTTGCAAGCATTTTTTTAATTATTCCATAGAGGTAAATACGTTTTTCGTAGTGTTACATATTTATCACATTCAAACAGGAAGTGGACTTCATCTTCATATCTATTACTATTACACATCTTACAAATTACATCAGAGTTCTTAGTTTCCTAATCGCCAGCACACAAAGTCGGCCATCTAACCCACTCAGCCAGCGCGACTTCCACAAATATGGCAAACTAGCAGATTTTTAATTTGTGTACCCCTCTGACAAGTGTACTCGGCTCCCACGGCCGAAAGCCATGAATACACAATGTCATCTATTCCATTTTTGAAACGATGGTGCAAACAAACATTCTCAAAAATAATAGAATATCTATTCGTAGTGAAGATGTATCCATTCATGTGTGCCTATTTTGCTCTTTTTAAAATACCATGATCACTTTGAAACGCGCCAAAAGGACACATCCAAGTCTGGCAACATTGGTTTGAGTAAACTCGAGATTCCAAACTTTACAGTTAGGTGAGGTGAAGTGAGGTGAGGTGAGGTGAGGTGAGGTGAGGTGAAATTGGGTTTAACGTCGTGCTTGAGAATATTTCGCTCATATGACGACGTGCATGCGTGTGTACAGGTATGTGTGGCTGCTTGTACTAGCCCATACTGAAGCTGGTTTTATAGTGCTAGCCCACTGAGATACCATGCCGCAGTGAAGCATGAATACCCCACTCAGACACATTATACCGACTCCGAGCCGACCAGTCCTTGTTGTACCCATTAATGCCGAGAGCCAGGCAGGGACCAACAAGTACCATATTTTAACGTCTTTTGGTATGACTACAGTTATGTAACAGCTGTGAAATACAACACGAACTTAGTGAAAATACTCTCAACTGTTGTGGCGATAGTCGACACGGGCAAATTATGCCTTAAAAGCTCTTCCATAGCAAATTACATTGGTTAATTCACAACCTGTAAGAAGTATATTATTGAGTCTTTATCATTTGAAATGTATTTCCTGCAGGTGACAATCTGTTCTGGTGCGACGCACAAGCTACACAGAAAAACATAATGAAAATGAACATAAAACTGAAGAAGATTACTGTCCTACTGCAGGGGGGAGACGTACTATGACGCAGCATTCTTTGATGGAAAACTTTACATCACTGCCCGAAGTGACAGGTACAAACAAGAAAGTGAATACATAAGTGAGTGAGTGAGTGAGTGAGTGAGTGAGTGTGAGTGAGTGAGTGAGTGAGTGTGAGTGAGTGAGTGGTATGTTATTTGAACAGTATTTCATTTATAACACAGTGGCACAGCATGGGATTATATTTTGAATCTCTAAGTGATATTCGTTTTTATTTGCATGTTGACAACCCAAGAATTAAAATGAGAGAAAATCGAACCATGATCATAGGATCATGAGGTCCCCCTTTCCCCAGGAAATGCAGAATTGCATGTATGTATCAGATCACTTCACATAACATATTTACACTAACACGCTCATGCGTGCATGCGCGTGTGTGCGCGCGCACGTGCGTGTGCGTTTGCTTGTGTGTTGAACTGAATTTCGTTCTTTTATATACGAATAACTGTAACAGGTCGCACTTCTTCACATTGTCCGAACAAGGGGGCAACGAAATATCGCACAGCCTTCATCGGACCATGTCAGAGTGGAAAAGAATAAAAGTCTTCCGATATTTTGGTAAATATCCCCAGAGCGTATTATTAGTTTCACGGCCATTTGCCAGGTAGTATCGGGTGGTACGACCTTCAGTCTCAGGAAAAAGGGAATCAAATGGTCGTACCATCACATAATACCTTGAACGTAATATCTTTAAGATATTTCAGCTTTATGTTTCTGCTGAGGTAATGGACGCAAAGCGTTTCGCAATGTTTGTTCTCGCAGACAAACATTATATCAACTGATATTCGATATTGTGACCTTAAAAAATATATTTTAAGGTTCTTGTTACTTCACATAATAATACCATGGTTAGGTCCAGTCTATTTTTACTTAACAGCATAAATAAATAACAGCATACTCTCCCCAAAAATGTTCAAATACCTTTCCGTGATAATAACAGTAACTGTTGAATTCTCCAAGTGAGTTGGATTTGAATGTCAAAGGCCGCAAACTGTCAAGGTCGTCCAATACCACCCGTTGGAAGAGGGTAAGATGGGTTTATACTACCCACTAAGATGGGTCTCATATACACTGGTCATTACTGAAAGGGTGATAATAATCTGTGCATCCGTACGGGTGCAGTCAGTGTTAAATTAGAAACTATGTCACAGTGTACGCACATACAAAATGAACATATCAGATTTCTCGGTTCTTGCCTAAGTAAACAATTCCTGAAGCGGCCCATGCTCTGCACCTACAGAAGTTATACCTGCTAGAAACAGGTACCCTAGAAACCGAGCGATCACAATGATACATGTGACTGATATGACTGATGTTTTACTAGGTGAGTGAGTGAGTGAGCGAGTTTGGTTTTACACCGCTTGTAACAATATTCCAGCAATATCACGGCGGGGTCACCAGAAATGGTCTTCAAACACTGTACCCATGTGGAGAATCGAACCTGGGTCTTTGGCGTGACATGCTAACGCTTTAACCACTAGGCTATCCCACCGCTCCTGTTTTACTAGGCTCCAGGAGAGCAGTATTTATATATTTATTTTTTGCAAATATCTTCAGAATGTGACAATGGCAGTTATGGGATCAACTGTAATTCTACCTGCCGAATGTGTGCTGGGAAGGATGTCTGTGACCCAGCAAGTGGATATTGCCCATCAGGATGCCAGCCCGGGTGGATAGGAGACATGTGTGACACAGGTGAGTGTTTCAGTATGGCGGGATGTGATCCCGACAGAAATAATAATGTGTCTTCAGTCTGAACAAAGGACGCGTAGACACCTGACTCGCCAAGTTGTGCACTGAACCATTGCAGCATGCATCGACTCCTATAGGAACAATCTTATCCCACTGTTTTCACATAGTGAGTGAATGAGTGAGTATGGTTTTACACCGCTTTTAGCAATATTCCAGCAATATCACGGCAGGGAACACCAGAAATGCGATTCACACATTGTGCCCACGTGGGGAATCGAACCCGGGTCTTCAGCGCGACGAACGAACACCATAACCACTAGGCTACCCTACTGCCCCTTTTCCATAGCATATACACAAATACAAAATCGTTCAGGTTTTTACCATAATCTTTCACGTGTTATGTACATACTGACTATCTTGCTCATGATAATATGTACTATAGCAACATAGAGGGGATTCATTTTTAACTCGGCTGTACGAAGATTGTGACCAGGAAGTTTTATTATTGCATTCATGGTTTTTCAAACCAGGTTGTGCTGAGGGTCATTATGGGGTCAACTGTAATTCTACCTGCGGAAAGTGTGCTGATGAGGATGTCTGTGACCCAGCAAGTGGACATTGCCCCTCAACATGCCAGCCCGGGTGGACAGGAGATAAATGTGATACAGGTAGCTGTTCTACTGTCTACAACAAAGTACGATAATTCGGTGCTACTGTATGTCAGGACGGGTGGACGGGTGTGACACAGGTAGGTGTTCTACTGTCTACATCAAAGTACGATAACTCTGTGCTACTGTATGTCAGCACGGGTGGACGGGTGTGACACAGGTAGGTGTTCTACTGTCTACATCAAAGTACGATAACTCTTCGCTACTGTATGGTAGGACGGGTGGCTGGGTGTGACACAGGTAGGTGGTCTACTGTCTACAACAAAGTACGATAACTCTGTGCTACTGTATGTCAGGACGGGTGGGCGTATGACACAGGTAGGTGTTCTACTGTCTACAACAAAGTACGATAACTCTGTGCTACTGTGTGTCAGGACGGGTGGCCGGGTGTGACACAGGTAGGTGGTCTACTGTCTACAACAAAGTACGATAACTCTGTGCTACTGTGTGTCAGGACGGGTGGCCGGGTGTGACACAGGTAGGTGGTCTACTGTCTACAACAAAGTGTCTAATACATTCATGTCAACTTGTATATCTGTTAATCTTGGTATTCAGCACACCAAACCTTACCCTCCTTATATGTTTTCAGAGTGTGGTGATGGACATCATGGCTTGAACTGTACATCTACATGTGGTCGGTGTTTTGGTGATAATGTTTGTCACCATGCTACTGGACAGTGTTTCTCTGGTTGTCAAGCTGGGTGGACAGGCGAGAGATGTGACATAGGTTGGTGCATTACATGTAACTTGAACAGCTGAACAAGGATGATGTTCAGTGATTTGTAAATGCATTATCTGGCAAAAGGTAATGCATGCATGTAAAAGTCAATCCTTAGATGCGACCATGAAAATATGTGGTGGTCACAATCGTTAAATAGCTTGATATTGTACATATATAGATTCCAGATTTGGAGGTGAGTTTACAAACGACGGTCCATATTCTCGACTGTATCACGCGGTTATGGACATTCTTGATAATAACTGCAAATCATATTTATGTATAATATTTAAGACTTTGTTAGACGGTATTTAGCATTTATTACGTGGGTAGACAGGGGCAGAATGGTTGATTGGGCGGTCACATTGTGTTACATTGCTCTCATTATGACCCTGTGGCGTGGATGGTTGTCAGCACTGTCTACACATTGTTTACCTGCTCCCGACATTTGAGACATTGGCTCACTGATTCGGACATAAAGCATCAATGGAGTAAAATTACTTTCGTTTATGATGATTCCAAAGTCAAATGCTATCTCTCAAGTAAGTATTCATTTATTTTCGTGACAAGTTTAAAAAAAATAAGATTGAGCATCTTTTCAGAATGTTCTGGTGGCAGTGATGGGTTTTCATGTCCGCGCACCTGTTGCCGATGCCTTGACCGAGAGCAATGCTACCTGGCTTCAGGTCGTTGTGACACTGGATGTGAAGCTGGCTGGACGGGGTCCATGTGTGGCAAAGGTATGTTCACGAAGGTAGTTCTGGTTTGGTTATGTTACTGTAACCTACTTACCAAAATCTGTTAGAGAGTAGGCCTATGTTTCGCTGAAAATACAGTAAGGTATGAAATGAACTCACGTATCTTGACTGCTGTACATTTCAGAATGCTTCGATGGGTATTTTGGTGTCAACTGCAGTTCTACCTGTGCTAACTGTAAAGATGGAACTGTCTGCAGCAAGGAGAACGGACACTGTCCATCGGGTTGTCAGCCAGGCTGGACAGGTGACAGATGTGATATGAGTACGTTTCACCTCTATCATCGAGCTTAAAACGTTTGAAAAAGTAAAATTATTTTTTATTATGCAAAAGTAATATGCATCGTTTGCATCATTGTACACGATGAAAAATAATCTGTAAAATCATGTTAACCTATCAAAATTATCCACAACCTGACCTTTCATGATCCCAGGATGTCCTAACGGCAGCTATGGAGCTGGGTGTCAACATACATGTGGCCGATGTCTGAACGGACAGCCATGTGACAAGGCGACAGGTCGTTGTATGGGCGGATGTGAACTCGGCTGGACAGGAAACATGTGCAACAAAGGTATGTGTCTTCAATCTTACATATGGGTTTGAATTGACATAAAATGAGAAAAAATATTTTGCCTTGAGGAGGATAAATGAAATCAACATATGAAATAATTTACCTTCCAGAGTGTAGCGCTGGGTATTTTGGTCTCAACTGTAGTTCTACCTGTGGTAACTGTGAAGGTGGAACTGTCTGCAAGAAGGACTTTGGACATTGTCCATCAGGATGTGAACCAGGATGGACTGGTGACAGATGTAACAAAAGTAAGTTTTTAATCTGTTTTTCAAGATGTGAGCTATTGAAATTCAATGAATCTGATAATCAATTAGTCCGAGAAAATGAGTGAATTCATTTCAGCTGGATACACAGTTGTTACTTTTGTAGTATGGATAACCACGTTGACATGTTCCCAGGATGTCCTAACGGTAGCTATGGAGCTGGGTGCCAACATACATGTGGCCGATGTCTGAACGGACAGCCATGCGACATGGCGACAGGTCGTTGTATGGGCGGATGTGAACCCGGCTGGACAGGAAACATGTGCGACAAAGGTATGTTTGAATCCAAGAAGAAAAGGTTTCGTCAGTGTTCAAGGTGGCTGTATTTTGTCCTACGAAATGTTAACATAGCAAAATTTATAAATCACGTGTCAAGATTGCCTCACGTTTACTTTCCAGAATGTAGCGACGGTAACTTTGGAGTCGCTGTAGTTCCACCTGTGTTAACTGTAAATATGAAACCATCTGTAACAAGCAGAATGGTCATTGTCCATCGGGGTGTGAGAAAGGTTGGACAGGTGACAGATGTAACAAAGGTAAGTTTGCAATCTGGCTCACACATTTATATCTGCTGAAAAGAGAATTTGACAACCAATTAGACCCAGAATATAAAAGAATTCAGTTCAGCGACTTAGACACAGCTGTCAGTTATGGTAAAGTGTCCCTATTACATATTAACCCACATTGCATTAAGACAAAGAACCGAACATGTTCCCAGAATGTGGTAACGGCAGCTATGGAGCTGGGTGTCAACAAACATGTGGTCGATGTCTGAACAGACAGCCGTGCGACAAGGCGACAGGTCGTTGTATGGGCGGATGTGAACTCGGCTGGACAGGAAACATGTGCAACAAAGGTATGTTTGAACCCAAGGAGAAGCGGTTTCTTCAATCTTACATTTGGGTTTAACTTTGACATAATATGAGAGAAACTATCTTGTGTTATGAAATATAAACTAAGTACACATGTGAAATAATTTACCTTCCAGAGTGTAGCGCTGGGTATTTTGGTCTCGACTGTAGTTCTACCTGTGGTAACTGTGAAGGTGGAACTGTCTGCAAGAAGGACTTTGGACATTGTCCATCAGGATGTGAACCAGGATGGACTGGTGACAGATGTAACAAAAGTAAGTTTTCAATCTGTTTTTCAAGATGTTAGCTATTGAAACTAATTGTGATGGCATGTGGTCCTGTACATATTACTCAGGTCACAAATCAGTTGAAATAAAGCAACGTTGTCGCGGAAAGTCTTTAGGTGTGACCGTGTTTGGCAGCTTGACTCCTGAGCGTTTCATGTGACTATAAGCTATTATCTCCTCACGGACAGTATAGGTTATCCGGGGTAGAAATTCCACCGAGATGCGCCGTTGATCAGGTACGAGTTGGATGCTAGGCGCCATATAAATTTATTATATATAATCTGATAATCATTTAGTCTGACAATCAAACAGTCCGAGAAAATGAGTGAATTCATTTCCGCTGGATACACAGATGTTACTTTTGTAGTAGGGATAACCACATTGACATGTTCCCAGGATGTCCTAACGGCAGCTATGGAGCTGGGTGTCAACATACATGTGGCCGATGTCTGAACGGACAGACCTGCGACAAGGCGACAGGTCGTTGTATGGGCGGATGTGAACCCGGCTGGACAGGAAACATGTGCAACAAAGGTATGTTTAAAAGAGAAAGAGGTTTCTTCAATCTTACAGATTGGTCTTAATAATGACAGAGTGAATCAAACTTCTTGAAATCGCGTGTCTACTTGCTTTTGTTTACGTTCCAGCATGTGACGATGGGTATTTTGGTATCAGCTGCGGTTCTACCTGTGCTAACTGTAAAGATGGACAAATCTGTTACGAAGTGAACGGACATTGTCCATCAGGGTGTGAGCCTGGCTGGACTGGTGACAGATGTGACAAAGGTAAGTTTCAGGGCTGTGTTGAGAGCGTTTGGATGTTCAGCATAAGGCAGTACTAAATTCGCTATCAATGGGTTATAGAAATAAAGAGCACATATTTGCCTGAATATCAGTTAATCCTGATCTAGATCCAGTTTGTGTGCTTAGCAATATTGTCTTGCACAATATTAACTGCAAATAACAGCGTTTTCTCTAATATGTTGTATTTTAAATGTCTGTAATTATTGGGTCGATTCCTATAACCAGATATAGATATTCCTATATGCACTGTGATCGAAGGCTACGTAATACTCACGCTGATAGTCCACATCTCCAAACTGTTACAAACATTCATGTCTCACAATTCCTAGTTTTAATGGTTAATCAACATCCATAGTTCACATGGAATAAGATATCAAAATAAAAGTAAACAGATCGGATTACATACACAATAGTTTATTATGTGGGACTTAGTGACTTTTTCTATATTGCTGTTTTTCAGAATGCCCGTTTCTAAGCTATGGAGTTGAATGTAAATTGTCATGCGGTCGATGCTTGAACAAAGAATCCTGTGACAAGAGAACTGGAGCGTGCAGAACTGGGTGCATGTCGGGATGGACTGGACTCAAATGTGACACAGGTTTGTTCTGGTCTTTGTGAGCAATGACTTCCCAAATGTTGGGAGTGTGTAAAACAATTAATTCAGTGTAACGTCCATGTACTAGGTATTTCTTGACACGGAGAATTGATGTCTTACATTTAGGTAACCAATATCTCGGAGTTACCAATATTCCAGATTTCAGGAATCACCAGTTTCACTGGCAATGTAGGAAGGTGGTGCTGAATGATGAACTAGGCAGTTGATGATGTAAATTCAACTGCTTGGGACTGCCAAGATTGGTCATAATGCTACAAACATGTAGGTCGTATAGTCACAGTTGACAACATTCGTCACTTGTTCAAATATGAACCAACATAACGTGAGCAGCCTCCTACCAACTGGGATCACAGCCACAACATCATCATGGAGGCTGTCGAAGGATATGCCAAACATGTCACCAAATCACCGTCACAAAGATAAAGTAAAACCATTAAAATATATAAGGGAAGGAATAGCTCTATATTCACAGAAATGATGTAAAACAGGTGGAACGAATACCACAGGGATAGTAAAAAACCCAAAGGATTTGCTTCATTTTTCACTGAGTAAGAAGCATTCCAAATTGAATTAAGTGGCGACAATAGATATAGTTATATATATTCAGAGGTTCAGTGCAGCTTATCAAAAATAAAAGGAAATACGGAGTGTACTGAGTAAACAATATGTGAGATGTTGAACTGCCTCACCGATGAGGTCTTTGTACAATTTGGGTGTGAAACGTTTGGCTAGAAATCTGTACCCCCGTTGAAATCAATCCAAATGGTCTGATTCTTTGTCAGGTTGGATACGTCAAAACAGAACTGTATTTTAGAGATTTAACTTAAGCTCTAGATTTATCTTGACCTTGAACTATTTAACCAAATGCATAGAGATCAGTGTGCCTGCCTCGCCTATACACATAAAGTGTGTGAGTGAGTTTAGCTTTACGCCGCACTCAGCAATATTCCAGCTTTGTGGCGGTGGTCTGTAAATAATCGATTCTGGACCAGACAAACCAGTGAGCAACAGTATGAGTATTGGGATACAATGACATGTGTCAACCAAGTCAGCGAGCCTGACCACCCAAACCTGTTAGTCGCCTGTTACGACAAGCATAGGTTACTGAAGATCAATTCTATCCCGGATCTTCACGGGTACTATACACATATAGACTTAGAGTGACACAACACTGTCTAAAAGAAGGATGACAAGACATTACAACTATCACTTTAATTCGAGCAATAGTCCAGCAGCTCACGTCTCTGGCGTCTACATTTCACAACGTTTGAGGCACACTCGAGCAAATTATCTGGAGCAAGTATGATTATAAAGAGCGTCAATCGATTCCTCTTCAAATGTTTAAAATGTTGCTTAGCTTTAACAACATATATTTTATATGTCCGATATCGCTCTTCAATTGGTCTGGTATTATATGTTATTGTGTATTTTCAGTGAAGCGTGCATGTGTTTATGCTGGGTGCCACGGTTGAGGCAAGATAAATTCAGCTTTTTGCAAACACGCATTGTCATCAATATTCCAAAACACCTGTCTCAATCATGCTAGGGACTCTACTTTTAGCAGAGATCTCTGATGAATATGGAAAACCCCGATTGGACGCTTTTATTAACCTTCCCGTAAAATTAAATAGCTGCAGTCGGATGAAAGAAAAATCATTTAGAATCGAAGTTTATCATATGATTAACTAACAATTTATTTAACTGCAAAGAACGTATGAGGTTCGTTTGAGCCTTTGATTCCTAAAGGAGGCTTTCTTTGATATTTTATTCGCTTACAAATCGATTTTTATGCTTCCATTTTCATTCGTTATGAGATTTATTTTCCTATTTACAGAGTGCATGGATGGTCTGTACGGCAAGGAATGTAAGTCCTCATGTACCAACTGTCTGAATGATACTACTTGCGAAAAGGAAACCGGCCATTGTCCAATAGGCTGCAAGGAAGGATGGATTGGAGACAGATGTGACAGAGGTATTGGTCTAAAATGTGCATACGGTTGCCCGAGTATATGTAGTACCTGTTTTAAAGCTCATCGAGTACACATCGGTGCGATTTCCCCATAGTTGATCCTTACAGTCTCAGGTGATGCTTATAGAATGTATATCATGAAGTTGATATGGGTTACCACCCAAATGAGTCATGTTGGTTTGATGGACAGGCCCTTTGGCAGGGCTGATTGACTGTGACCCTTCCAAGACTGTTTTAGTGTTGCTTACGTTTCCATACATTGTGTTCCTGGCCCGGCTCGGCTGTGGGAAGTTTGTGCTGCATGAAATGATATTCACTCAGATACTGAGAAAATATTCCAGATGCTTCCCCTACATGACACAATGTCAGCTCACATTTGCCAGTATTCCTGTAACGTTGTGCAACCTAACCGTTGTAATTAGTTCCCGAACTACCGTTCAATTATTCACGTTTCTGCCATGTTTCAGAATGTCCAGCTCGCACTTATGGAGCTGAATGTCAGATGCCATGTGGAAGGTGCTTGGGTGGAGAATCATGTGACAAAATTACCGGGACCTGCATGGGAGGATGTGACGCTGGGTGGACTGGGCCCAAATGTGATCAAGGTAATTTTAGATCACAGATCAACTGAAGCGAGATGCATCAAATCTCCTTGTACGTGACTTGAAAATTTACTGAACGTCAATCGGCATTACAGAGAAGAAAGTAAAGTGAGGTTGAGTTACAATCACATCTAGATGCATCATGATTGGTTATATTTGTTGAGTTTATAAACAGCTTGATGTTTCTTTGAATATGTGTACCCGAGAAGATCCGAGTTAGAATTGGTCTTCAGTAACCCATGCTTGCCGTAAGAGGCGACTAACAGGATCGGATGGTCAGGCTCGATGACTTCGTTCACACGTCATCGCATCCCAGTTGCATAGATGGCTGCGCATCCTGTTTATCACAGGTTTGTTTGGCCCAGACTCGATTATTTACAGACCGCCACCATATACATGTAGCTGCAATATTGCTGAGTGCTGCGTTCAATAGGAAACAAACAAACTTTGAACATGTTCTTTTTCAGAATGTGCCCCTGGTCATTTCGGTGATAACTGTGACTCCACCTGCACGCAATGCAAAGGGCATCGTTGTGAGGCAACACAGGGATACTGCCTGGATGGATGTCTACCCGGCTGGACGGGCATTCATTGTACAGCTGGTAAGATAGTGCGTCATTGAAGGGTCATGCAATGTAGAGATGGTAAGACTTGGATTATGAGAAACACAATGTGAACCACTGGAAGAGAGTACAATGTGCCACAAGTACGACAACAGGTGATAAGAAACGCAATATAATCTCTGTCGATAGGCATTTGCAACAAATTACACAACCAAACACGCACCACAAATATCTACATTTACAAGAAGTGGGCATTATTGTATACTACTTCCGGAAAATGACTTCAGTGAGATTTGGTATGTATTGACACAAGACATGAGTGATGGTATCTGTTGTGTGTATGTCCAGAATGTCCAGATGGCACGTATGGTGACGGATGTCTCTCAAAGTGTGGCAGGTGCGTGACCAACACCTCGTGTGACCCCGTGACTGGTCAGTGTGGTGCTGGCTGCCTACCAGGCTGGAAAGGGGAGATGTGTCGTGAAGGTTAGTCAACAAATTGAAATGTACATTTAATGCTTAACGAGTTTATGGTGAGCGTTAGTGTCTGTTTCGTTTCAGTTGTCTGTCGTATTGATCTGCATATGGTCCTCTGATGGATGTGTGAAACTAAAACATGTTTACTGAAATGCAGCTTTATTACAACATTTATAAAACCACAGTTATAACTACAAGTAACTAAAAGAACGTGATCAACATCAAATTTCTTATTCTTATTTCATAAATATATCTGTACTATGTATTGTGTTGGGACTTATTGGTATAGTTGCCCTTTATGTTGAACATGCAGGGTGTCCTGTAGGTAGGTATGGAGATGGTTGCACATCATCCTGCAACAAGTGTCAGTCTGGACAATGTGACACGGTAGATGGCACCTGCCGGCTGCAAGCTAACATGACGGGTGAAACAGGTAAATGTATATAAATTATTTCTGCAAATATTTAAGAAACCGTTTATCAAAACATAGCAGAGATTTTAACAGTGGTTGAGACCTGGTTGTACGATCCGATCGCCGGAGAAGACCTGTCAAGATTTGAAGTGTGTTATGTCATGATTTCTCCTTTCTTTGTTTAATGTTTCAGGACCATCTATGTTAGTGTTCCTGTTGATTGGAGCATGTGTTCTGCTGATGATTTTACTGCTCATAACTTCGGGAATTGCATGTGTGTTTCGAAGGTAAGTTTTACAGATGTGGTTCAAAGGGCATGTCAGCCTTTGTCTCATAGTATAGTGTGATCATCGCGAGCAACGGGTGGGAACATGTCATATGTAAATTACAGCATCTACCACACGAAAACAAATATTGATGCTTGGATTTCACTATTATGGCTTCGGAAAATATTCTGTCTTGTCTTTCTCACGACAGACAAGGCAACGTTAGTTTTCGTATTGTATTGGTTCGTGACATCTACAATTGCATCATATGATTCCTCTACAACTCTTTCCATCGATTATCTGCTGTACACCTGCGCCAAATTTGATTCTTCAGACGCCTGAACCGACTTTCTACAAAACCGATGGATGGTCAAGCCAACGGTTACTTCATGGAGAACGAGGGATATAGACCATATTCCCCATCACCAAGCAGCAACACTGAAGCATTCCTGTTCAACCCTATGTACAACACAGGCTTAGATGTTATGCCTCCAGCTTCCAGTGAAAACCAACAAAGTCTCCTGGACACGGACGTTCCTACCAGTTGAGCAGTTGTTGCTCCACACAGGAGCTCAATGCAGGAGAGGAATGACTATAATAGCATTAGAGGAGGCAACCCACCTTCGTGACAAAGTGGCATCACTGATAAATCATAGTATACTAATAGTTGGTCGATATAGTATCGGAAATAATATTCCAACTAGAGACAATTAACAACTTTAAACCTACATTCATGGCCAAGTGCCAGGGACTCTTGTAGTCTTTTAGTAATATGGATGAAGAGGTTCAATGAACGATTTTCTAAATTTGTATCTTATGATCATTTATTTTCTCTTCAAGACTAAATCGAACTTTGATGACTGATGTAAATAGTAACCGATGTTTGTGTTAAGCGTTATCGCCGTTGGATATCAATGTGTAGATTGTTGTTTCGTCGATCTTGTCTGTGAATATTTTCATCACTTAATCCTGTTGTAGCAATATGTATATAACCACGTTATGACATTAGACTTCATATAGACTTCATGTATTGTAGGCTTCAACCAAAACTCCTGGGGACCACCCAGCCGCACATAAATAGGTGTATTACCCTTCTGACTAATGCTGATATAAAAATCAGAGTGTCGGTTTTGTAACTTCCGGCCTGAATGGCCTCCATTTGCTGAAAGTTTCTTATGTTGAATTAAACCACAAAGGGACAATAAAAACGATAGACTGCAGACTGAGAGGAAAAGACCAACACTGCGTTGTACAAGAAATCTGTAAGAGGCGGTGCTGTGAAATACAACTCCTCGAATACGATTGGGAGCAGGGCTAATTGACAAGCAATATGTACAATTATAAGCAATTAATCAAGAAATTGATCGGAAAGTTGATGTGGATGCGCAATCTAAAATGACAATAGTGATGTTACCGAGGATATATTGAATCTAGGGGGAGGTAATTTGAACAGCACATTATGAAATAATTGAATAAGTGAACTTTATTGCAGGGTTAAGTACAGCTGGAGTCTATGATCTTTTGTCGAATCATATTTGAAACTGCTAACAGAGCCTTGGCCATGGTGGTAAAACAGCCGGCAACAACTACTCCAACCAGCTATAGGCCATGGAAGTAACATGGGATCAGCCATGTATGTTGTTATAGTCCATGAAACAGCTGAATGAAAATAAACATTCAAAATATATCTACATTGTTTTTGTCGCTTTGTCTCTTTCAGCACTATTAAGATCACCTCTAAGCACATGAATGCAATTTGAGCTAATACAATATATGCAGGTTGGCAATGAACAAGATACTTGAGAATATATTCAACTGCCAGGAAACGAGTCAAGTAGATGCACTCCTAGTTCATCAGCTCTACGTGTAACCTCTTCTCATCCGTTGTTAAGACTCAATAGTTTTGGCAATTAAACTTTGATCGAAGATATATGCGCCATAGTTCATGACTTGGTACTACATTACACGTTGGCCTTTAGGTCACAATTCAGCCTGCCCATGCACACGGTCCCCTCAAGGTTGTTGAAGACTAACTGCAAACCCGGATGTTCAGTCTGATCTCTAATGGTATTGGCGTGTAAACATCCAAACTACTTTTGATAGCTAACAATGCCCACCAAAGAAGAAAACTCTATTTCTGTTTAATTCCAACAACAATAAACATTACAGAAGCACGTGAAAATTCCTGCTTGTAAACTATTTTAAACTGTTTTAAACAATAATTATGATGTTGAAAACATATCCAACGTATTTTTTACAAGCTGTTCAGCTTATATTTCCACATGTATTTTTCTAAGTACCGTTTAAGAATCGCAGCTGCAATATCCTGGCAGCCACTCGCCAGCACACAGAGTCAGCCGCCCACGCGCTGGCTGGGCGGGCTAGGAGGCCGAACCCGTGCGCAGGCGAACAGGCGCCCGACCCCGGGGCCTGGGGTGCGGACCCGAATCCCGGACGGGACCCAACCCAACATAAGCACGAGAATAACTGCTGATGCCCAGTTTATGTAGCCTATATCATCTTGTTGCTTCATGAGTAAATAACAATGTTTAACATATCTATTACAATTCATACCGAGTATCCTTAACCAAAAGCTTATAACTCTGAGCTGTTGATGAATAAACAAGGGATGGCGTCCACATTCGCCCAAAGTTGCCAAGTTGCTTGTGCGGTAGCCAACTCTTAAAATAATTTACAAAATTTTGTGGGGATAATTTCTAAAACTTTTCTTTCCTTTGTACCCCAAATTTCCGAACCCTACATCAAAATCGGCTGAGTTTGTCTGTCAAAAATATCAAAACAGGTATTAACATCCAAATTTTCATATCTACAAATCATTCTTTTGATATTTTTCCTCCTTTTTTAAACACCATTATTTTGGTTTTGTCTAAATTTACTGTTACACCCCACTTTTCACAATATTCTTCTAAAATATCTATTTTTCTCTGGAAGTTGATTACTGTATCGCAAAACATAATGACATCATCAGCAAATAAAATCAGACAAATTTCTTCAATATATCACTATCTACAAAAATACCTCGTGGGTTCGCTTGGACAATAGTTGCAGCTAACTCTTCAACATACATTAAAAACAAAATTGGTGACAACATACACCCTTGTCTAATACCTCGAGAAGATGAAGACATTTCTGTAAACTGACATGGTGTCCATCTCACACATGCTTTCACATTACAATAAATACTTTCTAACAATTTATATAATTTACCATAAATTCCTTTTCTAAGTAACTGAAAGACAAGTTTACTTCTATCGACACAATCAAAAGCCTTTTTGAAGTCTATGAAAATACAATACAGTTTCCCTTGTTTTTTTCTAAGATACTTATAAGCTAATGCATTTAAAATAAACATGTTGTCAACAGTGGAATACCCATCTCTGAAGCCAGCTTGTGCTTCCGACACTGCAGAGTGTAGTTCTAACCAAAATGTTAATCTTGTATAAATAACTGATGTAAACACTTTGCCTAACATATGCTCTATAATTATCCGGATCTTCTTTACTGCCGCGTTTAAATAATGGTATAATTACACCTTCATTCCAAGCAACAGGAAACTGACCTGTCTTGAGAATGTTATTAAACAACAACACCAAATATGGAGATAGAATGTCAACAACAGCTTTTATCGCCTTGGCTGGGATGCCATCCAGTCCAGGAGATTTACCATTTCTAAAAATGTTAATAGATCTTTTTATTTCCTCTTCAGTTATAGAGTCGCCAAGGATATCGTCACTTTCTGCACAATCCTCACACACCAATGCATTGTGGTCAGCTCAATACTCTTGTACATGTTTGTCAAAATAGTTCCCTAAACTTATTTTTATATAAATGTATCGTTTCGAAAGTCGTAGCTATTTACATTCCGAATACCCAAAGATGTCTAAAAGCGCACGTACAATCTCCAAAACAAGCCCGCGATATATACTTTTCACGATTTTGAAAATAATGCCGTAAGTACTCGGAGTTGCTGTTATCAAAGTGTCCCAGTCCTTGCGTGCATTCTGGTTGGTTTGTCGTATTTTCGCGCATACCAACAAAGGGATCCTCCTGTACAGAACCTGGCCCAATTGGTAGCTGCTCTACACGAAGAACGGCGTAGACTGCCCCTTCAGAGGATCAGGGTGTATGGGGAGGAAAGTGCTGGCTGTCACACAACCACATGGAGGTTACACTCGGTATTGACCTTGAAACGTGTAAGACACACAAAATTACATTTTGAATGTTCACATTCACCAATAAATTCAATATTAAACACTCCATGGCTTGTACAGTGAGCAATTATCATCATAAAATCAACATGGATTCAAATAATTTTGTCGTTTTTCATGAGTCAAAGAATCATACGGGTCAGAAAAACTCACCACGAGAAGTTTCATGTACGTGTTGAAAACCTATCTCTGCAAAAAAAGGGGATGCATAAATAAGATCTTTGTGCATATTTATTGACCATCAGCTCTCGGCCACTGTTTGATAATGTTGAAATAACAGTCCAGATGAAATGATCGAACCCGTTTTCAGAGGACCATAGATTTAAAGCTGAAACCTATTTACCTTAATTGGTTTCATTTTTTTATCTGTTTGCTTGGCATTTTAGAAGTTGATGAACAACAAGAAAGGCAGGATACGTCATGGATGACATCTTCTTTATTGTATTATGATGCGACGTTTCAGTAGATTCTAATACCGTCGTCAAGCAAATGTTCACATTTTGTGAAGCACACGTAAAATACGCAGAACGAATCCGAGCGATCATGCCAAGCTGGAATTTTTAGCTTCGACCAGACCGTTCATAAAGTCCCCCACTCCCAACGTAGTGAGTGAATGAGTTGGGTATTACGCCGCTTCTAGCAATATTCCAGCAATATCACGGCATGGGACACAAGAAATGGGCTTCACACATTGTACCCATGTGGGGAATCGAACCCGGGACTTCAGGTAGACGTTGATAGATCTGCGATTTGTGTAATCTGGTTAGAAACTATTGCAGTACGTAACTTAAAGGCGTGTATGGTTTTGTGTTTGACCTGGAGTTCTGCATGAATCATTTCGGTCGCTGCTGATTGATTTACATCCATGTTCAGCTGACATTGCATATAAATGCATTTTAACTGAGTATATTTATTTGGCCTGTGAAGATCCGAGTGAAAACAATCCATGCCTTTCCTAAAAGGGGTCTTAGTGTATCAGGAAGTCGAGCTTTCTGGGTCTCATATTGTCAATCACTAGATTCTCTGGTCCAGACTCGACTATTTACAGACCGCCGTCATATAGCTGGAATATCGCTGAGTGCGGCTTTAAACAAGAAAACAAAACCATAAATATTCAAGAAATTTAAGCAGAAAACCCATAAAATACATCTTTAACGGTACATATACTTTTGCATCTTGAGCTGACCAAGACATTCATCTTATTGGTGCTATATGTTCATGAGTCACCTCTGCTATGTTCACCTCTGCCGGCATCATATCTAATTCCAAAAGCACATGTATCATATGTTATATGTCTGTATTGGACAGAGTTTCAATGTGGTAGATAGACACTTATTATGTTCGCCTCTTTCGTTTCCAGAATATCTGTATAATTCGAAAGAAAAGGCATGTTGCTGTAATTATTTGATGGGAAAGAAAAAAAACTGTTCCAAAGTCAGGTATCTGTTTCAAAGCAGCCATTCTCTTTGACAAGGCCACGAAAATACTTTCAAAAACTTCTTGCCCCAGGTTTGAACCGGGAAATGTAATGTCATGGCGGATGTTATGAAAACAATTAATACTTCAAATGCGACAGAAAAATATTGTGCCTCAAACAAGAATCCAAGGATTGTTATTGTTGGTGTTGTTGGCGACAATGGGGGTTGTTATGGTGATCTGGTGATAGCGTCGATATTGTTGTAGGCAGTGGTAGTTGCTATGGTTATATTTGTCTTGGTTGTGATGACGGCGGGAGATACTCTGCTGTTGTAGTGGTGGTGGTTGTGATGACGGCGGGAGATACTCTGCTGTTGTAGTGGTGGTGGTGGTGATGGTGGTTGCTGTGGAGATGGATGACATCACCTCTGCCAGCGTATATATGAAGTAATGGTGATGGTGGTTGCTGTGGAGATGGATGACATCACCTCTGCCAGCGTATATATGAAGTAATGGTGATGGTGGTTGCTGTGGAGATGGATGACATCACCTCTGCCATAGTATATATGAAGTAATGGTGATGTGCTTGCTGCTTTAACATTTTGAACATTTTGGTGACATAAAGTGAACAAGTATTTTAAATTTTGAAACATATTGATTTAGATGTGTCACAGTGCTCGAAGGTAGTGCGTTTAACAGCATACGAGAATACACGTAGGTTGTCTCTGTATTTATGTACAGAAGTATCGTGCAACATATTGCTACCATACATGTGTGCACCCTCCAAGGGCACCGGCAGCTGAAGAGTTTCAAGTCTAACTGTGATGAACGACCTTCACAGAGTTTCTGGCTAAATATTTCGAAAATAATCCCCTCCGACGACCACACACATTGGTCTGGTGGAATGTCTGGATCCCAGTTGTATAGAAATATGTATTCTGGTCGTGTTTCATCTGTAGCAGAACTGTTGTCATCATCATTTGTATAATGATTATCAGACAGTTCTCTCCTCAAGCAGAATGAGTGAATATTGCTAAACGCC